CTTGTTCTAGTCTGCAGGGGCCTTCCACAGTCACGCTGAGGTGGTCTGGCAAGAGTGTTGGAGGAGGCAGTGATGGCGGTAGGTGGTGGGATCTTGACAGAGTTCCAGTTTGAAATTGCTGTGAGAAATGAGGCATCTTTCTGACTTCAGTAAGATACTGACTCCTTTGCACTATGTGTAATATTGCCTGTTGCCAGGGCACACACATCCATGATTTGCACTGACTCCGCCTGTCTTATGTTTCAGCTGACTCAATCACTAGCAACCTGTCTTTCTCCCATTTTGAACAAAGCCCACCAGAGAACAGCTTCCTCAGACTCACTGTCATGGCCACGGCAACGCACTCTGAGTCCAGCCTTAGCTGCTTTGCTCAGGAAGACATCGTCATTTGTAGACCACACCTTACCATTGAGGTAGGCACCAGTCCTTCCCCAAGTCACTCTCATTTGCTACTGTTTCAGAAGGAATCAGAGCCCCTCAAGCTTTAGGGCAAACAACCATGCTCTAGGATTGCCAGAAAATGTTAGGTTGAGAGCTCCTTCTCTTGAGATGGTTAAGGTCTACATCTTCCAACTTCTTTTTTTGGTTCCATAAAGATTTTAAAAAGCAGGGCCTCTCCACTTGCTGCCTCCATTCTTGAATAATACTAGCCTATATTTATTTAGCACTTTATACATATGCCAATGTATTTTCACCTTCTTTAATACAAAAACCCTGTGAAGTGGAACCATTCCCATTATTCAGATGAGGAAACAATCCTGGAGATTATCATACCATGATCATGAAAATGGGATGTTTCAGAGGCTTATGGCTCTTGATCTAGTCCTCTTTCCACATGTCTACCCTGACCAAAATGAATGTGATCTGGTCCCAGCCCTCAATGAGTGTATATTATAGTTAAGTAAAGGAGGCACAATGTTAGGTCTTTTATGTAAGTGCTTCAATAGAGGTATGAAGTCACTGTGACATAAGTTAAGTAAGGGGATTAATTTCATCTGGTGGGTTTGAGGAAGACTTACTAGAAGGAAGCATTCATGCCAGGCCTTGAAAAATAGGTAAGCTTTAGTGCAGAAGTTGAGGAAGGCCACTGCAGGCCACAGACTGAGCAGAGAGGCCCCAGTAAAGGGAGTCTGAGGGGGGTGCTGGGATGTCATTTAGTCAAGGGAAGAACAGATAAGGCTGGAGAAGGGGATTGGGGTCAGACCACGAAGGGTTCTGTATGCCTACCAACGCTGAATTCTGAAGACAATGGGAACCCCTCCAAGGTTTCTAGGTGGAGGAGAGAAACTACCAGAGATGGCCACAGGTGAATCAAGGCAAGGGTAAGTATCAATTCAGGAAGACCAGATAAAAGGGTAAAGAAGTCAGGTGTGCAGTTTGGGTGTGGATGGCAGAGACAAGAGAGTACAGGGAGGATGCCTAGGAGGGGAAGCAGTAAGTGCATCCCTGTGCTCATGGCATCCACTCCAGGTTTTGCCTCTTCCCACAGATGCCAGAGACAGCAGAGCAATATCAACTTCTTAAGGCTTCAGTCCAGCTCCATAACTTCTTAGATGCTCCCTTGAAGGACTGTGTGATCTCCCTCTTTGGAAGGGGCCTCATTCACAGAGAGAGGAGGTATAGGTAAGAGACCACAAGCTTCTCGGGACACCTGGGTGGCTCAGTTGGTTAAACATCTGCCTTCAGCTCAGGTCATGATCTTGCGATCCTGGGATGGAGTCCTGCATCTGGGCTCCCTGCTCAATGGGGAGCCTGCTTCTCCTTCTCCCCCTGACCCCACCCACCCTTGCTTGTACTCTCTCAAATAAATAAAATATTTTAAAAGAGAGAGAGAGACTGCAAGCTTCTCATCTCACTGAAACAACTCTACTTGTTAGAAAGGCAGGGATCCAAGATTAATGACTGTCTTTTTGCTGTGTTCATAGAGATAGAAAAAAAGTACCTTCTAGGGGCACCTGGGTGGCTCAGTGGGTTAAAGCCTCTGTCTTCAGCTGGGGCCAGGATCCCAGGGTCCTGGGATCAAGTTCTGCATTGAGCTCTCTGCTCAGCATGGAGCCTGCTTCCTCCTCTCTCTCTCTCTGCCTGCCTCTCTGCCTACTTGTGATCTCTATCAAAAAATAAATAAAATCTTAAAAAAAAAAATGCCCTCTAGAAGTAGAACTGAAAGATTAGGGCCTCCCTCCTCCTGGAAGAGAGGAGTGAGGAAATGCCCCACGAGCATCCACCTGACCCCGATTGCTGCCCTGGTCATGCAGGAAGAGGTTTGGTATTGCTGGTAATTGCAGGCAAGGAGTTAGGTCTGAGTACTAGAAAATATCCCAGAGAGTTCGGGCTGCCTCTTGGTATGGCCAAAGAGCTGCATTCTACTAATGACAACTAATGAGCTGTTTTGGAGATTCATCCACAGGTGTTAAGCCCACTGCTCCGGCAACATAAGGCTTCATTTGGTACATCCGTACTTTCTACCATGCCACTCTACAGTGATGGGCACCCAGAGAGCCTCCAGCTCTCAAACATCACAAATACTATCGCAATAAACAGCCTCACACGTCTTCTTATATACTAGCTTGAAACTCTGGTTGGGGAGGAAGGAATGTACATCACAGGATCTGGTTTGACCGGGTACTATCAGACTTGTCTGCACAATGACTGCAGAAGTCCACACCCCCTCCAGCAGTACAGGAGTTTCTATATTCCTATCATTTCTCCACTTTTCTCCACTCTTGGCCATACTCAGCTTCCTTTTTTCCAAATGGAAGTAAGGTAATATCTCATTATTGTTTTGATTTGCAACTCTGCATATGTTTATTAGCCTTTTCGGTTTCCTCCTCTGTAAAATATTTGTTTTAACTTTGCCTACTTTCCTTTTGGTGTTCCTGCCTTTCCTCCTTGTTGATCTGTAGGAGTTCCCTGTAGGAGTCCTTTGTTGGTTTCAGATGTTGCAAGTATCTTCCTTCATTATTTCTTCTCTCATTGTGTCTGCCACATCCTTTGCTGAAAACACAGTATACAGTTTAGAGTTCATGGTGCCTAGTCATGAAATCCTTGGTAGTTTTCTGGTTATTGAGCCAATGCCTCAGCCTTATGAAACTTGATGAATCACTATTGCCAGTAGATTGAGAGAGGAGAGACTGTCAACATTTAACTATACTTTCCTGGTATCCCAGATCAACCATGGGGGAAAGCTCCTCAAAGGAAATCTGTGCTACTCTCTTAGTCACTATGAGAAGGTTGCTGATAGGATGCCAAAAACCATCTGTTAACAGACTGACATCTTCTGTATATGTCCACTGTACCCTCACAGCACTTAGCAATGTGAGGGATCCAAAACCACAGCCTTCCCAAACATACCCTGGTACTACTACCAAGAGTGGAACCAGTTACAGGCGATAAAAGAAATAACAGGTGCAGCTTGGAAGCCCTTAAATTAGGATGTTTCTCTTCTTAACCCTGCAGTTGTTTGCCATTGGGAGGCTTCTGTCTTCTATCTCCTTAAAACTTCCCCTGTTTCAACAGCAAGGTACTTAAATGTTTATTTCTTCACAGTTCACCTCTTCAAGCAGGGAAGGATCAGAGTCACTGGGACTAGCAAAGCAATGGGACAGAACTACCACCTGCCTTTTCCTTTATTTCAGATTAGCTTCTGTGTGGCCTGGAAACATCTTGTACACTGAATTCCAGTTCACACCGACACAGGTGGGGCTCCAGAGGCTCACTGTGGAAATGGACTGCGATATGTTCCAGAACGTAACCAACTACAGAAACGTCACTGTGGAAGCCCCTGAACTTCCCGCTTAAACTTCCACTAAGTATCCCTTAATTAAAGTCTGATATTGATAACATGAACTTGGCCCACTAGAGAAATATGAAAACTATTAAGTATATAGAAAACGGGCCCTAGGAGAGAAAAATAAAAGAACTGTACAAAGTTCTTTTTTTTGTACAAAGTTATCATTTTTGTTTGTTATTTACAGTATTTTGTTGCTTTGGCACTCTCTCAGTTTTACTTCAGTTCCTTCTCCTTATGACTCTTATGAGAAGTATAGAATGGCGCTTTATAAAAGTAAATTAAAACTCATTTGACGTAAAGAATTTCAACTCAAGTACACACAAACTGCTCAAAAGAATGACTGCTGTAGCTGATTAGAACTAAAAAGACCATGGGGACACATCAAAAGGGCAGATGGGATAAGTTACACCCATGCAAGGAACAAGACTGGCATCAGACATTGTGGAGACCTGCAGACCACGTCAGGTCACCAGAATGCACATCATACAGGTTTACCCTGCTTTCCGATATGTGATCTTCTAGACCAATGCAAAAATACAATTAAATCATGATGGCAATGCAAAAGGATTAACTAAAAAGGCCCTTAAAACCATATAAACTCTCTTATACATTTACAAATTTTTGATGTATAAACATTTTGTATTTACATTTGGAACGACATGTAATGTAGGAAAGAACAAGCATGTGTTAAGAAAAACAAACCTGTTCAATAAAGTGGGCAACCTAACAAAATGAGCTCAATACTATGAAATGATTTTGGAGGCATGGATGGAATAACATTTAGAAGGACTTAATGTTAAGAATGATGATATTATGTAACTGCTGAAGCACTTAATGGAGCTCTGAAGTCATCGTCTCTAAATAAAGTCAGGTGTTGGATGCCTGGGTGGCTCAGTCGGTTAAGCACCCGCCTTCAGCTCAGGTCACGATCCCAGGATCCTAAGATCGAGCCCCAGACTGGACTCCTTGCTCAATGGGGAGCCTGCGTCTCCCTCTGCCCATCCCTTCTGCTCATGCTCTCTGTCTCTCTCTCTCACTCGCTCTCTCTCAAAATAAATACAAATCTTAAACATAAATAGAAATAAAGTCAGGCATTTTTGTTCTAAATACAGTTCTGATCAGAATCAGATCTTTAGACCCACAAATCCAAATGAAACCAATGTGCTAGTCTCAACCCACTGCATTTCTGGTAGAAAGAAACTTTGGAAGGTTACTTACTGAACTACTGGCAGGTCACCATTTTATTAAGATTATCAACATGTTTAACAATGAAACAACACACTTTATTGCAAATAGGGAATAAGGCAGCTTCTACACAAATCTCTGAAAGGTGATTCAGGAACACAAACTCATGCAATTACCTTTTGAATCTAGCACAGAAAAATATATCATACTCATATAGTTATAAATAACTGCCAGTCTGGCCTAACCAACCAACAATCTTTGGTAATAATGTCTCTTGACAAGCATGGACAGGAACTCCCTTTTGATCAGGAGAGCATTCTAGCCTCATTTTAAAAGCAGACATCAGAGGCTACCTGTGATAGTAAGGAAAGGAGAGAGGAGAGTACAAAGGAGCCTGAAAACTCACAATTCAAGTTCATTCTGAGTGAGTTCCTTGATTCTGTTCATGCAATGATCAACAGCATTAATGAGTAAAGGGATCCAACTATCTTCTGGCTGCGGGGTCACATGACTTGCTCTGCAAATGTAATGGGGAAAAAGAGAAGTTAAATTTATACTGGGAAGGGGAAACCTATTCTCAACAAGGAGCACAAAAACTAGTAGGATAAGGCAATTTTCTTTGTAGAAACTTAGCGGCTCCACAACTGAAGTGGAAAGAAAATACCACACCCACCTTCTTCCACTTCTTGAAATGGGACTTTGGGAATTGAGAATGACTGGATGGGTTAATTCTCTAAAAAGCTATTTGATGAGAAGTCCTCATACTCACTTAGTAATTTCAAGTGCCTTCTTTAAGACAGATACAAGTTTCGCAGACTAGAAAAGAAACAAAGAAGTTACTCACCCTGAGCACCACATAAAAAGGGAAGGAGAGCTAAGATATACTAAAGGACTCAAGTAAGTAATAAACTATAAAAAAAAAGGCAGAAAAAAATCCAAACAAAAAACCTTGAAGGAAACCGCAAAAACAAAAATTCTGATTAGATTAGGGTGGCGGGATTATAGGTTTCTTCTCTATTTACAAAATCTTATTAATAGTGTTGCTATAACATTCCTGTAAGTTTTAAAAAAATTTAATACTTTTAAATTAAAAAAAAAAAACTAGAAAAAGTTAGAATTTAACCTGAATTTATCCCAACTGCAGTTCTAAATATATTGTAGAAACAGGTAGTGTTCCTTTTAAAAAAAAGAGTATGTACATAATTTTAAGCACACCAGTAACAAGATAACATGAGAACATATGTATTCCACCAATCTATGGTACACATTTTAAAATTTTTATTTGGGGTAACTGACAAGGCATATTACTAAAGATGCTTATTTCTTAGGAAGTCAATTTTTTAAAAAAGTGAATGGGAAAAAAAGTTAACACCCATTCTACTTTAAGGTGTTCACATACTGTGAAGATAAATTAGATGGTGGAAGTTCATCAAATATATCAAATATTTCAGGACAGATAGTTCTGAATGTAAGATATAAGCCATTTGGCAGTTTTACTTCTCCTTCTAATATCTATAGAGATAATCTGAGTCTCTAAAAATGAGACAAGAGAATTCTCTCTAGCACAGGACCTAGGACATGAAAAAATAAAATAAAACCATATTTTTATAAAGACCTTGACCCTCTGTAGTTAAATCATCCAATGTGTTTATATTAGAACAAAGTATGTTTCTGGACACAGATTTTTGCCTACACCAGAAATCAGAAACAGTGATTTTGGGTTAACAGGATCCTAAAGTAGTGTGGTATTTCAGACTTTCTTTTCAAAGTAGCATTTTCTAAGGTCTTTGGATTCTTCTAAGTGATTACCCAAATGGTTACAGAACAGAGTACTACCAGAACTCAGGGCTTCAGTAAAGATTTATCAAGCAGAAATACATGTAAGAACTATGACACTATTGTTATATTTGCATCTAACTGACAAATAAATGTATTTCCTATAGCTTAAAGGAAATACTAGTAGGTAGTAAAATCCTACCAGTAAGGTCAGTAGCTTTTCCCTCAAAGCTGGTACTTACATTGATTCGCACAGTCAAGTGGCACATGGGTGGATATATACTCAGAGCCAAATCATCCACACTAAGGGCAGAAAGCAAAAATAACCATTAACAATAAAAGGAACAAAGCTCAACTGGGTGGTTTCCAGTGATGTGACCAGTGAGAACCTAACTGTCCGTAAATGCCTATCAATTCCTTAAATTGGGTAACCAGAATCAATTCAACTGGTATTTACTAAACACATACATACCCCATTTCATTAGAAATGGGGGGAAAAAAAACTCCCTTGGCCTTTATGATAGGACATGATTAATTCAGCTTAAAATGGGAGGCTCCGAGGTCACCTGGGTGGCTCAGTGGATTAGGTGTCGGACTCTTGGTTTTGGCACAGGTCACATCTCCAAGTCCAAGTCTGGAGATTGAGCCCCACCCCTCTGGGCTCCATGCTCAGTGGGGAGTCTGCTTCCCCTCTCCTTCTCCCTATGCTCCTCCCTGCTCCCTTGCTCATTGCTCTCTCTCTAATATTTAAAATGGGAGGATCTGAAACCATTAATTTAGTAACTGACGCAAGTGGAGTTCATCCATGGAACAGCACTCAAGTGGGCACTACTTTAACCAAGTGGTGAAATTTAGTACCACCGGGGTGCCTGGTGGCTCAGTCATTAAGTGTCTGCCGTCAGCTCAGGTCATGATCCCAGGACCCTGGGATCCAGCCCCGCATTAGGCTCCCTGCTCAGTAGGAAGCCTGCTTCTCCTTCTCCCACTCTCCCTGCTTGTATACCCTCTCTCGCTGTCTCTCTCTGCCAAATAAATAAAATCTTAAAAAAAAAAAGAAAGGAAGAAAGAAATGTAGTACCAACAAACTAACATGTCCCTCGCCCACATGATGCAATGAGAGGCACAAAATACTCAAATACAGGATATCCTTGCCAAAAGAATATTTAACTTGAAAATAATCTATAATCATGACAAAGACAATAATGTGAATCCAGATTTTTGGATATTCTGCAAGACAACTGCCCTTTAAAAAGTCAATGTCAAAAAATACTAAAAAGGACAGGGACTGTTATAGTTGCAAGAGACTACAACCATACGAGACTACTCCAAGAGATGATAACCAAATGCGATGTGACACCATGACAGAACCCCGGATTAAAAAATAAAATTTTAAAAAAGCAATAAAATATATTTTAGAGACAAATGGGAAAATTTGAATATTAAATATTATTCTATTTAATGTTAAATCTCTTGGATGTAATAACGAATATCTGTTCTTAGGAGATACATGCTGAAGAATTTAGGGGTGAAATGTCACTGATGTCTGCAACCTATTCTCAAATGGTTCAGGAGAAAACTGGCACATCTAACCATAGAGAAATAAACCAATATTGAAAAAAACATGTGAGCAACAGGTGAATCTAGCTAAATGAAGGATATATGGGTGTTCATTGCAATACTTTTTTTTAACTTTCCTATAGACTGGATATTTTCAAAATAAAAAACTGGGGGAAAAGCTCGGGGTGACAGCACAAGCTAAGATCACACGCTGCTACTCATATGTTTCAAGTGGGGATCCTGCTTACCTAGGGCTGATCTCATCAGAAATATCCACAATGTCATCCAGCTGGGCGACCTGATCTTTCTTCCCATTCTCTGCCACTGAGATCCGGATTTTCTTCAGACAGGCTTTGGATGCTCTCACCAGTGCAAGACATGGGATTATGAGCTCTTGATCCTCCTCTGACCAGTATAAGTCCCGATTGTTTGGACACCCCAACCTATCATCCTCTTCATCACCATGGCTGTCAGAGTTGTCCTCAGTGTCATTTAAGAGGCCACAGTATGGGTCACATTCTTCCACGGCCTAAGATATGCCAAAAAAAAAAAAAAAAAAAAAAAAAAAAGAGAGAGAGAGAGAGACTGTTATACTTTCAGCCTCATATCTGAGTTATCCCAAAACATCAGCCAGCTACTTCACCAATGGCCACACTTGAATCACTTCATAAACCCCGTTCTCACTCTCCTAACCCAGCAAAGGACAGAAGAGACTGGTATAAATCACACACTGGCATGAGGTAGGAGATAGTCAAAATCCAGGAATGAGGATTGGACTTAACTGAGTCAATGCTCAGGCCATCTCTTTCATTACAATTCTCATCCACTATCATGGAGCTGTCCCCTTACCTGTTCCATTTCCTCATGTGCATCCTTCACAAGATCCACACTCTTCGTCAGCATTGAAAGGGCTGCAGCTTTGTTATCTAGGAGTGAAAAATCAGAAGCACTAGAATAAAAGAAGAAGCCTACAATTCTGTCAAGTCTGCAAATGACAACCAATAGTGTTCCCATTTGAGAAGAGTGCCCAGGATAGTCAACAAGAGTAGTGGTTTAATGTAAAATTTTTCTAATACCCATCCTCTAGGTACCCAGATAGGAGTTAAAAAGCTTTTCATCATTCACCACAAAAAGAAAGAAAATGGTCACACAAGGGACACCTGGTTGGCTCAGTGGGTTAAGAATCTGCCTTTAGCTCAGGTCATGATCCCAGGGTCCTAGGATCAAGTCCCATGTCCAGGTCCCTGCCCAGCTGGGAGTCTGTTCCTCCCTCTTCCTCTCCTCCCCGCCCCCGATTTGTGCTCCCTCCCTCTCTTGCTCACACTCTCTCAAATAAATACATAAAATCTTTTTTTAAAAAATGGTCACATGATGTTTCTCATCAAGGTCCTCATGGATGAACACTACTTTCGACCTGGCTGGCACTACCTCATAAGTACTTCAGTGTGTCCTGGGCAGGACCAGGAGAACAAACCACATTTGTTCAACAAGATAGGGCCACAGAAAGAGGGCTAGAAAAAAATATGAGAACTAAACGGACTGAGAAAATATACGAATACTTATCTTTTGATGTTGGTGATAAACTATTATATTTTACTAAACTGTAAGTTAAAATACATCCATGCTACAAAACTAGAAACTAGATAGGAGAGTTTCTATCTGCTTTGGCTAACAGAGTCAATGGCCCATTTCCCACTCTGACCCACCTTTTGGTATCCGAGGCACCTGCTGGCATGCAGTCCAGACACTGTTGTAGGAAATAAGGTCACTGTTATCTGGGCTGGAGAAAGGAATCAATAAGGATATATCAATAACCAAGGTTCCTCTCTCCTAAAAAACCCCTTCCTACTAGTCATCATTCTCAGCTGTTAGTAACTTTGCTGTTGAATGAGTTTTTCCCCCTCCCTGAAGCAATAAACCCCATTAACTGATAACCCCAACTGTGGTATTACTACCTTTGACCTGGAGTAATGAAAAGCACATCCACAAGTTGAGCCATTCCATCTACGATGTCCAGAGTGGCGTTCCGTACCAGCTTTCTCAGGGTGATTCCTGAAGAAACCCAAAGACTAAGTAAGTAGGCTGGTCTTTCCAGAAGTCACCAACTGCTTTCTTCAGAGTTTAAGCCCTTCAGAACTTGAGGTAATGTGCACCCATATCCTTTAATTGGAGTGCCAAAACAAAACTCAGATCTTATGTATCTCCCCATGCCATTTTCTTGCTCCTCCCACCATTCCTGAGTACTGTCCTCCAAAAGAGATCTAGAACAAAATCTTTCTAAGAGAGCATGTATCCATTCATTAAGGTCAATGGTCTCTTGACAACTGTGGATGAAACAGTTGAAGTTTAAAGCATCTATGACTAAACTTAAGATCCACGAGACACATATTCATTTATAATTTTGGCATGATTATAATCAAAGCATTAATCTATAGGCAGAGTTAGAGGTCACTTAACCATAAGTGAGCTCAGAAACAAGATGTGATGTAATATGGGTGGAGGAGATGCTATAGATCCAGCATCTGTAGTGGTTAGAATGGGTTAGAGAGGGAGGAGCCAGTGAGAATTAAAAGCCTTAGAGTCAGGCAAAGCAGGGAAGATGGTAACAAAGCATCCATACCTTAGCATGAAAGTTTATTTATGGAGGTCACTAATGTTATAAAATTATCCTTGAGTGCATTTTATGGAAGAAAGATACATTACATGCTCAAATTGAGGACAAGATAAAGTCACAGGACATAAACTATCATATTGGCAAAGAGCTACCCTATAAGTGAAACATTTCTGTGCACACAGTGGCTTACCCTGATCCTTGGGAAGTGAATAGTATACTGCAGTGATTGCCTTGATGGCAGCATGGACTTGTTCACAGAACCTCTTGGTTTCCTATGAGGTGATGGATCAATTTCAGAATGAAAAAAAAATTGGATTAGGTTCATCAGTCCATCTACTGTAGAAGAGAGCAGACAACTGTACAGCATGATCTACAAACATTTTCTGTAGTCCTATTATGACTTAGGGCTTCTGCTGCTCTTGCACATAGCAGAGAGGAGTTAGCTGGACACAAGAGAATGAGGTGACAACTCAATAAAATATTAAAAAAAAAACAGCAGGAAAGGGGCGCTGGGATGGCTCAGTTGGTTAAGCATCTGCCTTCAGCTGAGGTCATGATCCCAGGACCCTACATCAGGCTCCCTGCTCAGCAGGAAGTCTGCTTCTCCCTCTTCCTCTACCTCTGCCCCTGCTCATGTGCTCTCTGTCTTGCTCTCTCTCTCTCTCTCCAATAAATAAATAAAATCTTAAAAAAAAAAAAAAGCAGGAAAAACTTATTCCTAATACTCTCCACATCATGAGGTACCCATGATCTGCTATGAGGTGTTCCTCTTATCTCAGACCAGGAGTTGGTAACTACAGCCTATGGGCCAATTAGATCCACTGTCAGTTTTTAAAAATAAAGTGTTACCAGCATACAGCCAAACTCTTGTTTATATATTACCTCCAGCTGTGTTCCCACTACAAGGACAAAGTTAACTAGCTCACCTTCAAAGCCTAAAATATTTACTATCTCACTTTTTATTTTTATTTAATTTATTTATTTAAGATTTTATCTATTTTTCGACAAAGATCACAAGTAGGCAGAGAGGCAGGCAGAGAGAGAGAGGGAGAAGCAGGCTCCCTGCTGAGCAGAGAGCCCAATACGGGGCTCGATCCCAGGACCCTGGGATCATGACCCGAGCCAAAGGCAGAACCCACTGAGCCACCCAGGCACTTTTTAAAGAAGAGTTTGCCAACCCTTAGATCATTAGCCAGGTGTCTGATCTCTCTCAAACAGAATCACAATATACCTAAAGATAATTTAGCATAGACTCAACATTGCTCAATGTTGACTATTTTCCTTCTAAGCAGTCACTGGCTTTCTCCTATCTTCCTTGTCCTCACTTTTCTGCAAATTCTAAGCCAGTGCTATGTAAAATATGGTCCACAGACTGGTGCCAGTCTGTGAACAGTTACCAGTCTGGGATGGTGAATAAGCACAGTGACTGAAAGTGTTAAAAAAAATTTTTTTATGGCAATGTGACATTGCTTCAACATCCAAACACTTAAAAAATAAATAAATAAAGCCATTCTTCAGTAAACCAAGGTGCAAGATTCTAAGAAAACAGTTGTTATTCAAATACACATAATTCAAATATAAATAAAACTTTTCACCTATGAATGAAACCACTGTCCTGAGCATGCATGGAAAAATAGTTCTATGCTCCCTCCTCATGGTATGTTACTAGCTATGAATTTTAGCAACAAGTCCTGAGTATATTTGAAAGAAAGCAGGCAAACAGATAAGAAAAATAAGGTAATACTACTCCCCTTAAAATAAATATTGACTTCCTTGCACAAAGCTTTTAAAATGCTCTCAAACACTTCATTTCTTATTTTCTCATCATAGATCTCTGGGGTCTACAGGGGGAGAGTTTATCATTGTAGGTGCAGCAAAAGAATATTTTTTCATTTCAAAACATCTTGATATACAGACTGAAAAAGAGAACCAAACTATTGATTATGAAAATGAAATAAGGCAATAAATATGCCATTTTTAAATAATCTTACTCCTAAATTAAGTATGCCTAGTTCTAGAAAAATGGCATAAAGCATACCTGGTCATAGCCAACATATTGTAAAACTAAGTTTTACAATAACAGGTAATTTAAAAATGTACAAATCTGGGGGCGCCTGGGTGGCTCAGTGGGTTAAAGCCTCTGCCTTCGGGTCAGGTCATGATCCCAGGGTCCTGGGATCAAGCCCTGCAGCATCAGGCTCTCTGCTCAGCAGGGAGCCTGCTTCCTCTTCTCTCTGCCTGTCTCTCTGCCTACTTGTGATCTCTGTCTGTCAAATAAATAAATAAAATCTTTTAAAAAAATTTAAAAATTAGGGGCGCCTGGGTGGCTCAGTGGGTTAAGCTGCTGCCTTCAGCTCAGGTCATGATCTCAGGGTCCTGGGATCGAGTCCTGCATCGGGCTCCCTGTTTAGCGGAGAGCCTGCTTCCCTCTCTCTCTCTCTCTCTGACTGCCTCCTCTGCCTACTTGTAATCTCTCTGTCAAATAAATAAATAAAATCTTTTAAAAAAAAAATTTAAAAATTAAAAAAAAAATAAAAATGTATAAATTTGGGATACCTGGGTGGCTTAGTTGATTAAGCGTCTGTCTTTGGCTTGGGTTGTAATCTCAGGGTCCTGGGATTGAGTCCTGAGTTGGGTTCCCTGCTCAGCAGGGAGTTTGCTTCTCCTTTTGCCCCTCCCCATCACTCATGCTCTCTAATAAATAAAATCTTTTTAAAAATAATAAAAATAAAAATGCATAACTTCTTGTTCCAGCTATTCCACTTCTGGGAATTTTTTTTTTTTTACTGATAATACATACATACAAAGATTGTCCTAGGCAATTTAATATAGCACCGTTTATAAGTCACAAGTTGTAAAGAGCTTAAATATCCCCATAAAGTATTGGTTAAATAAATTATGGCTATATCCACTCTACTGAATACCACGCAGCCTTATAAAGAACTGAGCAACTTTAAATGTCCTGCTAAGAATCAATGTGCAATCCATGTTATTAATTTTTTTAAGGGAAGATCCAGAAAAGTGTTATGTGTATGTATCATTGTGTAAAAAAGAAGCATGCATATACACATAAGTGCGTCTATGCATCGTATATGGAATAATACAAAAGCAACTGGGGAGGGGAAATATAAACTTTTAGCACACTTTGACATCTTCAGAATTTTATATGTATACATGTTACTGATTAAATATAAAAAGTAATTCGATACAAAAAGGGTATTATGTAGTATGACAAAAAAGCTGTAGTTTAGACACTATAAACCCTCATTTCAATCCTAGCTCCACTGCTTATTTACCTTAACCTGAGCCTCTAAGCCTGCTTACTCATGTATCTGATGGGAATCACGTATGTGAAAACACCTACCAAATAGCGACTGTTTAAAGAATATATGTCAGAAAGGGAATAACCAGGAATGAACTGAAAGTTGAACAGATACCTATTTAGGAGATCTGCCTACGCCGTGCCAGGAACTGCACCTGGCAATTTGGCCTTCGCTGCAATCCTGTGAGATGAGAACCGCGATCCTATTTGACAGGTGTGGAAAATAAATCCCCTGGCTTGAGTGTAAAAGTGGAAAGAAGGTGACTGGATTCCTAATGAACAAGGCAACACAAGGATTCCAGGAAAGTAAAGCTCACCTGTGGAGAGGGCAGTGGAACTCGAGAGAAGACTTCTGTCAGAGTCGTGGCTTCCCTTGCCACGTTCACAGCTGCCTCATCTGAGGGGAGGAGCCTATATGTTAGTGCCAAAACGATCGGCCTGCAGTTGCTGCACGGGCTTAAAAAATGTCAGCCTTACCAGCTAAGACCTTTCAACACACCTCCCCAAATCAATGTTTCACATCCCCAACTCCGAAGTACAAAGGATTGGTAAGGTGAAGTATCCTGAGACGATGCAGTGGGAGGGGGAGAAGCGGGAGGGGGAGAAGCGGGAGGGGGAGAAGCGGGAGGGGGAGAAGCGGGAGGGGGAGAAGCGGGAGGGGGAGAAGCGGGAGGGGAAGGGGTCGGTACACCGAAAGCCATGAGAAATACAAGTCCCCAACAGGAGAAGTACTCACTGAGTTTCCTCCAAAACGTCTCAGGATTAAACTCCTTGGTGGCCTCTCGGGCTTCGCCGACTAGTGGGTTTGGCATGTGGGCCGGGCGGGGGCGAAAGGAAGAGCACAAGTAAGCCCAGCCACCCCCGACCCCCACCTCCTCCGCCCGTACCCCCGCCGGCCTCTTCCCAAATCAAGCCCGCCCCTGCCGCCGCCGGTCTCAACGGCGTCAGCTCACCCCGCAATCCAGGCAAGAGCAACCGCAGCTCCACCGCCAAGCGCCGGAGCTGCTCCAAAGGCGGAACTACGGTGGGGACCGCGGCTGTAGGTGCAGCTGCGCTCGCCATCTCACTGTATCGTCTGGAACCTCCGGACAAAAGCGACCAAGGAAGGGGCTAGGGCCCCACTTCCATAGGCTTTCCACATCCGGGAGTCACAGATACGGGTTCGTTTCCGGCAACAACCCTCCCGGCCCCGCCCCACAGCCCCCGCCACACCTCTTTTTATCTCGCCCGGTCGGGCCACGCCTTTCTCCCCGCCCCGGAGGTCCGGCCACGCCTCCTCCCACCCCCGGCCGTCTGGTCACGATTCGCCCCTCCCCTAGATGCCCGACCACTCCTCCTCCCGCTCTCAGAGGCCTGGTCTCAATCTCTCTCAATCAATCAATCTCTCTCTCTCTCTCTCTCTCTCACACACACACACACACGCAACGACCAGTCGGGGTTCTTAATCATTACTCTTTTATTTGATTAGCTGAAAGCACCCCCACCTAAAGAACCCGAAAGCCCATAACCCCGAGGGAAAAGAAGACTTGGAGCTAATATCTCAAGGGTAGTCAGGGGAGGGCCCAAGTTCCTACCGCTTACCTACCCCTCTAGTGGCACCCTTGCCCGTGCGTTCCACACACTGTGCTAGGTACTTTACATGAGGTAACCATAAAAAATACAGTGGGCTTCTGATACTCCCATATACACACCCAGACCCTGCCCTGTGGATCTCCTGATTAGAACTTTTTCACAAAAGTAAATCAATCCCCTGCCTTCCTGGGGAAGGAAGGAATCATGGCATTATTTAGATTTTTCTGCAGTCCATTCTGCAGGAATCAGTAGTGAGTAATCCCCCCAACTCCCAGATGTCCAGGTTGCAGCAGCTCCCTGAAGCTTGCCCCCAGCACTGGCCTTCCACCTGCTGCCGGGGCAGAAGCCTGGGCTACAGAGGCAGATGGTGACACAAGACCTTCAGGAGCTCAAGTGGCTTTTTAACTGTGCTATGAAGGTTCCAAGCTCAGTAGAGTTCAGAGTCCACACGCAACGAATGATAACAGGTGTCAACAGTGTTAACCAGGTCCGCAAAGGGGAGAAGAAAAAAGCTAGAGCACCATATGTCATATGAAGAAAGTAGCAGGAATAGATCTGCCAGATGTACAGCAGTAACATAAGTAGGTGAACAGGTATAACTTTCAAGTATTTTCCTTGATGGAGATGAGACCGGAAGTTGTGGCCAAAGCACCGCTGCAGCAAGCTCCAACACAGGTAAGCCATCAAGGGTATGTTAAAAAATGCCAGCTGGAAAAAGAAGCAGAACAGAACCATGAGCAAGACCTTAGAGGGTCGGGCCTCATTAACGCATTATCAGTGGCACCTAAGGATATGTTGCTCTCTCTCGGGGGTTAACTCTCTGATTCTTTATGCTTCAATCACATTTGCTTATAACACTCACAAGAAGTGACTTATGGTTGTATATTTGCCTGTATCCTTTTGTTCATCTTAAGGGGTGCCTGGGTGGCTCAATAGATTAAAGCCTCTGCCTTTGGCTCAGGTCATGATCTTAGGGTCCTGGGATTGAGCCCCGCATCGGGCTCTCCGCTCAGCAGGGAGCCTGCTTCCCTTCCTCTCTCCCTCTACCTGCCTCTCTGCCTACTTGTGATCTCTGTCAAATAAATAAAATCTTTAAAAAAAAAAAAGGTATCATTTATGTTGAAGCCCTCAGTAATGTTTAAGGTGGAAATGAATATATGTATAAATATGTACATAAACACACTTTTCTTTTTGGCAGAGTGAGGAGGGACTTAGGTATCAGTATTTTTTTTTCTTATTTCTGTGTTTTTTATTAATTTTTTCTATTTTAAGTAAACTTTACACCACACATGGGCTTGAACTCAGAACCCCAAGATCAAGAGTCGGATGTTCCACCACCTAAGCCAGCCAGGTGCCCCTATTATCTCTGTATTTTTAATTAAGGTAGCATTATGAGTACTAGAATACGAATCAGAAGATTTAAGTTATAATCTAAGCTTAGCTGCTGTATGATTCACTCATACATTCATTCACCAAATAATTGCCTATTACACCAAATAAATGCCCATTACACGGCAGACATGATGCCAGGCTCTAGGCTAAGGACATGCAGCAAAGATGCATCATAGAGCTTACATTCTAACAGAGAGAAGAGAGACCAAAAAAATAAACACAAAAGATCACTATAGTTGTGACACATTCAATGAAAGAAATAACTGAGTCACAAGAGGGTAACTGAGAGATGGGTTCTCTGAGGCCTAAAGAGCAGGAATGACTCTGTGGAAGGAAGCACATTCCAGGCAGAGGAAACAAATAACCCCTGAGGTGGGAGAGGCCTTGGCCTACTAAAGACCCATGAGCCTGGAACATGATAAGCCAAGTGGAAACTGAGGCAGTCAGCAGGACTCAGATCATGTCGCTGCTCTGCTTAAAGGTTTTAAGCTGAGGAGTGAGCTGATTAAAGTTTTGAAAGGAGTGACTGCTCTGTGGCAAACTGAGAGTAGGGAGGCAAGGGTAGCAGTGGGAAGACCAATCTGGGTTCCTGCAGTGGACCAGGCAAGGAATAATTATGGGTTAGACTAGCGTGGTGGTAGCAGAGATGAAGAGAAGTGGTGGATTCAAGATATGCATCAGAGGGAAAATGAACAGGGTATTACTTGCTAATGGATTAGATATAGGGTATTAGAGGGAAAGGGAAAAATTAAAGATACATCCTAGAAAAACTTAGCAAAATTGTAAAGAACTGGGGGAGGAAGAGGTTTGAGGTAGACACGTGATATTGAGATGCCTGTTAGATACCTAAGGGAAGATGTGAAATGGCAGGTGGATATATAGACACTTGAAATGCAGAGAACAAGTCAAGGGCAGAGATAACACATTTGGGAGCCACGGGCCTAGATGATACATAAAATCCACTACTGGTGTACTATTTATTAAAATATGAATATAGGGGTGCTTGGGTGGCTCAGTCGTTAGGCGTCTTTGGCTCGGGTCATGATACCAGGGTCCTGGGATGGAGCCCCACATCGAGCTCCCTGCTCAGCAGGAAGCCTGCTTCTCCCTCTCCCTCTCCCACTCCCCCCTGCTTGTATTCCTTCTCTCTTTGTCTCTGTCCAATAAATAAATAAAATATTTTAAAAATATATGAATATAAACCCTACCTTTTAGTAAGGTTCAGGTTTTATTTGGTATAAGAGTGCTCCTGTGAGACAGCCTCCACCTACATAATAGACAACTGACGAGACTCACGACCTACTCACATATAAAATGCTGCTATACAGAGAATGTTCTGGTCTGTGGTCAATGTTTATAGGCAGAAGTCTTCCCTGATTGTCTCTAATCCTGCCAATCACCTTTACTGCCCTGTTATGAGGCTGTGAGCTCATTCTGAAAAATGTTTTTGGATCTCTTCCCAAACATGAGATCATTACCTGAGATTTTAGTACCTTTAGCCCCAATAGGTGAATAAAATACATAGTAGGTAAATACTTTCCAAACTATATACAGAGATTTGCTATTGGTTAGTTGTGTGTGTGTGTGTGTGTGCATGTGTATGTGTTTTAAGATTTCATTTATTTGAGAGACAGCACAAGCAGGGGGAGAGGGAGAGGGAAAAACGGACTCCCTGCTGAGCAGTGAGTCTGATATGAGGCTTGATCTAGGACCCTGAGATCATGACTTGAGCTGAAGGTAGATGCTTAACCAACTGAGCCACCTAGGCACCCCTGTGTATTTATTTTAAAGGAATCTTAATATACATGTAAACCTAACCTATTAGTATTTTCCCAAACAAACAGCAGCTAAGACATCACTAAAAAGCCCAGGTCTGGTTCTTGCCCAGTGCAGCTTCCCCTGGACAATAGACCTATTTTTCTTGTGTGTCTATTTTTCCTTTCCTCCCTCTGAAACATTTTCCTTCTTTGTTATCATAATCAATTTTGGTTTACTTACTTATTCTACTGTAAGTCCCTTATCTCATTTTTCATCAAGGGAAAGGCACAGTAAAACAAACTACAAAACCAAAAATCTCTTTCAGAAACTTTGTAGAAATCCTTCCTTCCGAATGTATTTAGATTTTACGAGAGAGTGGTGGAAGAAAGAGCTTAGGAAGCATTTGAAAAACAATTGAAACATTGAAAACAAACAAAACAGCAAATATTAAATTAGGAAATATGATCTGTGGTGTTTAGTTTGAGGCTCTGGATTTAATTCATAACTGCTATATAATTAGTCCAAAAGGCCAAAGCATTCTTACATTCCATTTCTGACCTCTTACCTGCAGAATGCCAACTACAAATGTTAGGCTGCCTTGTAGGAAATGTCCATCAACAAACATCCCAAAGGAAAAGCAGCAACCCAATTTGCCTTTGGTGATCTCACCAACAAACCATGGTCCTGAAAGAGGCAATGGGGACAAAAGGAGAAGATTAAATGATTATGATTATGATTATATACATCACAAGGTACATTTATAGGAATAACACAGTGTGAGAGTAGTCATTGGTAAGCATTTTATTGGCATAATTTTTCTTCTTTACTGATCTGTATGTTGCACCATACATCTTAGCTAACCAACCATTTGCTCCTTTGCTCCACTTTTGTCTGATTATGAGTATGTGCTATATGTACTCATCTGAGTACATGCTATACCTGAATAGATTCCAGAAACAGGTCAGAGTATGTTCAGAAACTTTAGAAGATTCTGTTGCAATACTAATCTTAATATAATGCATTAACATTTCCTTTAAGAAGCAAAGAGGTAGTCTGTGGAAGTTAATTTTCCAGATAACTGATATTTACTCCTTTAAGCAATGAAACTTGAACCACTTTCATCTTTCTAAAATGCATTTCTTCTCTTTCTTATTAATATTCATGAATGTATTCTGACCTTTTCTTGCTGACCCAAGTCATTACTTTGTACATCAACTATACACTCAAGGTTAACATGTAAAAAATTTAATTTCTTTTTCATTTAGAATGCCAGAATAACTTTTTGCTCCTCCCTATTACTTAATGTCCTTCCTAGCGTGTAGGTTTCTGGAACTACTATATTGTCCAGAGTGATAAATGGACAGTCAAGACTTCCTTTCTCAAAATGCAAATCTGTTGGTAAGAACAGGGTTCAGCTTTAAAAAGTCATAGGTAATTTCCTCAGATGTTATTATATAACCTCCACTGGATACAGGGTCTAAAAATGTGTTTTCCCTGAAAGTTTCAACTTTTAAACATAGAGCAACTTCTACTCTTTTAATGTTTTCTTTTACAGCCAGAAGCCAAATCATGTGCTTCACCCTCTAGTGTAAGGCAAGTGTCTAAAATAGCTTCAACCTATCTTCTAACAAGGAAACTGACCTCCAAAGGGCCATCCTCCAAAGCCTGATACACAGAATTGTACCGTGTTGTATTTTTTTATCTAACTACTCTCTGTTCTCTGGTGGGAGTTACTAATAGGCAAAGAAAAGTCTTGAGGTGGAATAAAAGTATAAGACAAAGACTAAGCAATGAGTAGGCTAATCTACTCCTAACTGACTTTAAGTCACTAAGGAACATTAGAAAAAGCTGTAAATACAGAACCACAGTGCTTCCTGCTTCCATAAGTGGCTGAGGGACTAAGTATTGGGTATGAGAATATAACAGAAGAACTTGGATATGCCTGAACTCACCACTCATCTCAGGTTCTCCTTTTTGAGCTGAGTTTTTAAGGGGTATCCATAAGTAAATATTCACTGAAGTACATACTAGGCATTGTGCTAAGTGCTGGGCATAGAGGAGAACAAGACAGACAAGACTTCAGTGGATATTCTAATGAGGGAAGAGATGATAAACACAGAAGATAATCACAGGTTTTGATAAAGTAAGGAAGGAAATAAAAAGTGTGATGAAATAAAGGATAAAACTTCAAGGTACTCAAAGAAGGCTGCTCTGTACACACACACTAATTATTTAATGGTCTTCTCAGCTTAAGTTAACTCCGTGTCAACTAAATGTCCTTCAAACATGTTAGGAAAGAACTTTATTTCCTAAGATCATGTTCCAGGAAATGATTTATGAAGAATCCATGTGTTGTTCATTATGCTCTCAAGAGTCTAAATGACTCTTTTGTCAAAATACTCCATACATCTTTTGGCAGAATTCTTCACAATCTCATGTTTCCTAATTGACTTACCCAGTGCTGTATACAGGGTTAGCAACAACACAGAATAGTAGAAGATGTTTAGTTTGCTCAGGACGTGGAGAGAAAAGGAAGTCAAATTTATAAATCCTGGAGACCCTAAATAGAATAAATTTGAAAAAACAAACAGTGAGCACATGCAAAGTTTTTTCTTTCTTTCCTTCCTTCCTTCTTTCTTTTTTTCTAATTAGTTTCAGAGGTAGCATTTAGTGATTGGTCAGTTGCATACGACACCCAGTGCTCAGTAAATCAAGTGTAAGGCCCATCACCCAATTACCCCATCCTCCCACCCAAATCCCCTCCAGCAACCCTCAGTTTGTTTCCTAGAGTTAAGAGTCTCTTATGGTTTGTCTCCCTCTCTGATTTCATCTTATTTTATTTTTCCTGCCCTTCACCTATGTTCATCTGTTTTATTTCTTAAATTCCACATGAGTGAAATTATATGATACTTGTCTTTCTCTAAGTTCAATTTCTTTATAAGATTTTCTAGAAGACTTCCATGGGCTATCTTTTGTTATATGGTAACTATACAGATGACACCACTTTAAATTCAGAAGTTGGCAGGAATCCTGAGAAACCAGTCCAATTAGAACTGCAAAGAGTAGAAAGTTCAAGGCAATGGTGTGGTTGGGAGACACACACATGCACACATGCATGCACACACTTACAGCTGCATAAACATGTAGGCTTGAAATAGAGTGCTGTGCTCAAAGTCTCTGTTTTCTATGGGATTTAGTATCCAAATGTATAAACTTCCAAGTGGTATATAAAAATATATCAAAGAAGTATCAAAATTTCTCCAGTCTAATCTTAAGTATGAATAACCGTCCAATATTTCTTTCCCATATGTGACATAGCTCCTAACTCATAGCTATTCTCTTACTCTAACTGAAGGGGATCCCTAAAGCTCTTCGAATTAACATCTCTTAAAATATAGTGCCAAAAATGCCAAGCATATAGGCTTCACACACACAGTAGCTCCATTCTGTGGCCACAGACTAAAGTATCACAGATCCTCAACCTCAGCCAGCCGTTTTTCCACTCATGTGTGTGGCTCGTCATAAACCAGAAGACAGGAAACTTGGAAACTCTGGTAACTTGGAAACTTGGTACACACTGAGCACCCCTAAAGGTGAAAACTACTGAAAGAACCAGTCCCAATGAAAGACAGCCTGATGTAAGTTAAATAGTATGTCTTTCCTAATGGCCAACATATTCATTTTGTACTTAAAACACGGTTCAGTCTGACAGTTGATTTTGTACAAAACCTGGTAACAAATGATCTTCCCCACTTTGTGACATTCTTGCTACTCATTCCTCTCTTAAGAGTCTTTCTTGTTTTAGTCTGGTACTTCTCAAAGTAGTCATCTACATGTCCACTTTTAATAATTATTTATTTATTTTTCAAGATTTTATTTATTTGAGAGTGAGCACATGAGCACGAGCGAGGAGCAGGGCAGAGGGAGAAGCAGGCTCCCCACTGAGCAGGGACGCCTGACAGGGGGCTCAATCCCAGGCCCCTGGAATCAGGACCTAAACCGAAGGCAGACACTTAACCAAATGAACCACGCAGGCACCCCAATAATTATTATTTATTGTAAATAAATAATCCTTTAGCCTTGGAGACAGCTATGCTCCCAAAAAAAATTTTTTTAAGATTTTATTTATTTGACAGAGATCACAAGTAGGCAGAGAGGCAGGCAGGGGGGGCGGGGAAGCAGGCTCCCTCTTGAGCAGAGAGCCCAATAGCGGGGCTCGATCCCAGGACCCTGGGATCATGACCTGAGCCGAAGGCAGAGGCTTTAACCCCCTGAGACACCCAGGCGCCCATGCTCCAAATTTTAAGCATAAACTTTAAACGTGATTTTCTTTTTTGGCTCCACATTAAAATAATCTGGGGGAACTCTGAAAAAATAATCATGCCCAGGTCTCACTCAACAGAGATTCAGATTTAATTGGCCTGAGGGAGAGGAGAAGCTTAGGTTGCAACCCAGGTGATTCTAAGCAGCCAGGACTGAGAAATACTGCTTTAGTCAGAGCTGAACATCTCCGCCATGACTGGCCATTGGAATCATCTGGGGAGCTTTATAAACTACTGATGCTTAGATCCTACTCCTAGCAATTCTGATGTGATTGGTCTAGGGTGCTGGGTAGACACCAAGATTTAAAAGACACCAGAGGATTCTAAGGTGCAAAGTTAAGAAGTGTTGTTTACAGAAAAGAACTGACCTAGGGTCAGAAGACTTAGGTTTCGAATCTCTCCTTTGTCTCTTCCTAGTGATGAGACTTTGAACAACCTTCACAACCTTTCCAGTCTTTAGTGTCCTAATCTTTAAAATGGGGACAATAATACCTATTTCATAGGATTGCTGTATGGATTAAGTGAGATAATGTAGGTAAAAATATGTTATAAATTTCAAATAACTACACAAAGATATCGTTATCCCCACAGAATGAGGCTGGGGCCCTCCCTTAAACATTTATTTATTTACATTATATGCAGGAACATATATGTGTACAATAACGGTTCTTGAACTTCTTCACAGAATTTGTGAAAATATATATAGGCAGGAAAACATTCAGTGGGATGTGTACACTCCCTCTGTAGTTAGCCATTTTACTGTTGAATCATTGCTATGGTACTCCCCTCCCCTACAATCAGTCCCTGATCCCAGGGATTTCATCCAAGCCAGGAAGGGGTAAGGAAAATTTAGTTCAACAAGTATTTATTGTCTGTTATGCACACAGTGCTGGGTGCTGTGAGAAACAGAAAAGAAGTGGAAAACAGGAGCTCCTATAGTGAGAAACTTATAGTCGGGTTGAGGAGAAAATGTATATATACATTTGGGGTGGTTACAGAAAGCAAGGTGACTGACTGGCCAAGTAGCATTAATTGTCAGGAAGGACTCGAGGGATTCAGAGAAGCAAGAGCTCATTATGACCTGGAAGGGGTAGAGAAAATGGGATGGAAAACGAGGGTTTGAGGTGAGCCCTAAAGGAGGCTAAGATTTAGATAAGTTTAGAAAAATAACTTAAAGATAACAGCCAAGGCAAAAGCACAGAAGCATAAATGAGTATGGTGTTTGTAGGGAACAGCGGAAAACTATCTAGGCTGAAATACAGATAACTGGTTAAAAATGCGGCTAATTAGATAAGACCCAGCTGTGGAGGATCTTTAATATCTGGCAGAGACGTTTAGTCATTTTGAGCTATATTGTGATTTTCCCTCTCATTTCTATTTGAGCTTCATATTATTGCAATGTAGCAGCAAAAAAACCCTAATTTTTAAAAATTTTTAAAAGATTTTATTTATTTGAGAGAGAGAGTGAGAATGAGAGAGAGAGAGAGAGAGAGAGAGCGAGCATGAGAGGAAAGAGGTCAGAGGGAGAAGCAGGCTCCCTGCCAAGCAAGGAGCCTGTGGAACTTGATGTGGGACTTGATCCCGAGACTCCGAGATCATTTCTTGAGCCGAAGGCAGATGCTTAACCAACTGAGCCACCCACGCGCCCCAAAAAGTGAATTTTTTAAAAAAAGATCGAGTACTACTATGGAAAAAAGTACAGTAAGTTTGAAGAATGCACCTCACAGAGCTAGGGCAAAGATAATTTATAATAATATTTATCACTTGGTAATAGGATATTATGTGACACTTTAGAATGAAGACGTCTGAGAATACAAGGAACCATGACTAACCTTTATGCTCTGGATATCCTCGGTGCCTAAAAGTAATGAGAACAGTGAGCTGGATCAGCACAATTATCACAAAAAGGACCCGGGCCTGCAGAGAAATTGGTGTTAGCATGAAGCAGATACATGGTACAATGACAGTTAAGGTTTTTAGAATGGCTTCATCAACAAAAATGGAAATAACACCATTGCCAGAAATGACTATGCAAGAAAAAGAAATCAAAAAGAACCAAACAACTGAGCCACCAAAAAAGAAAATCATAAATAGCCTCTGCATTACTCTTTCAGGATCTGAATACTGAGACTAATATTGAAACAAAGTAATTCTTAGTTATATAAAGTGATCAAACTGAAACATTCCACCTTCACTGTCCTGGAAGTAGAACTGGTTTTATTTCAAGTTGTAGAAGAGTAAAGAAAAACCATACACGACGCACTGCAGGCAAAATGAACTAAGTCGGTATTTTCTTTTGCTTTCTCCGTGAGGGCACAATTCACTTGGAGATTAACTCACAATGAAGAGACATAACCTAGCTTCTGGTTTCTCAAAGTATGGGATCATTGGGATCGCCTTGTACCTGTTGGGAAGGCAGAATCTCAGGCGCCATCTCAGCCCTACTAAATCAGAATCCGTTTCTTATTAACGTTCCCCGGTGATTCATAATACCTCAAAGTTTCCAAAGCCTGATCTAGGTGACTATTAAAAACCCCCAAAAGAAAAACAAATGACACTAAAGGAACTTGTAAAACTGAGATACAAATGCCCATTAGTTATATTTCCAAAAAGCTTAATCATACAAGTAATACAATTAAAATAATAAATTTACATTGTAAGTCTGTGAAGATATATGTAAAGCTATGTCTAGAAAGTGAAATTAAAGGAGGCTTAAATTTTCTTCTCAGGACGCCTGGGTGGCTCAGATGGTTAAGCATCTGCCTTTGGCTCAGGTCATCATTCCCAGGGTCCTGGGATCGAGTCCCGCATCGGGCTCTGTGCTCAGTGGAGAGTCTGCTTCTCCCTCTCTCTCTGCCTCTCCCCCTGCTTACGCTCTCTCTTTCAAATGAATAAATAAAATCTTTAAAAAATAAAAAAGTAAAATCAATTTCCTCTCAACATCATAGTGTGTCTCTTTGGTGTGTTTTATGTCAATATCCAATTAACAAGAGATAAATGGTTAAAAATATTAAGGTATATTTATGCCAATCAACATCATTCTTAAAAGTAACATAAACTGATATCAGAAAATAGTCAAAACAAATTCCTCAGTAGAAAAAAAATTCAGACCACAAAAGAGAATGAAAATTACTATTTTATATTAAAAACTCATACACAAATATATATGAGAAAAAAAATGAGTATCATAATGACAAATACAATGGTTATATAATAAGTAGTGTGATAAAAGAATAATGTGGGGCTGATTTTACTTTATTTCTAAATTTTCCAAGTTCTCTACATTAAGCGTGTATTATTTATATAGAAAGAAATAATTATTTTTAAAAGATCCTTAGTCCAATTTTACACAGTTCCTTTAATTCCCTTAGTTATTCTGGTTTTATGGTATTGGTTAGAACCAGGTTCCAAAGCAGGTTTTACCTGTCAATACCTCTGCTTCTTTTAATTCAAATCAACTTTAAAGCATTATCTTCTTCTAGACAAATAACTAAATTTTATAAAGTTTGTCTTTCTCGCCACATGATTATATTACTACTTTGGACCCACCACTAGATTCCACCGAATCTCATCAAAAGCTGAATTTACTTACCACGATGCAATGGTCGGTAAGGAGAATAAATGATGCCAGGGGATCAAATCTGAGGTGAATATCCTCTTGAACAGAAAATAGATGGTGAACACTCTTACTTCTTCCAGCAGAATCCTAGTTAAAAGCACAGCAGTGACTCTCATGCACATTTATATGTATAATGTTCCAAGATTTAGCTTCCAGTAACATTTGTCAATTATCTCTGAATAGCTGTATTTTTTTTCATTTATTTTTTGCTTCTTCCTATAAGCACTTTAAATATAACTTCTTTTAAACCCTGTAATTCTAGATTTGAACTGGAAATATCAGCATGTATTCACAATACATTTTCTCTTAAAGAAAAATTTGTGTTTTCCCTCTGCTCACTGAAAAGGCCTAAAAATAGTAACAAATCCAAGAGCAAGGAGCTAGCTGGGCTACTGCCCAGATTGTACTCTCAAAATAAAATTTCTCATTATAAGATCAGTGCTCTTTAGAGAAATAGCTGATTCCAGTTCCTGAACAAGAAAGACACAGGGAGAGCTTAGAATATCATCATGCCAGAAAGCAAGAACACTAACAAAGACTACTGCGATTATATCGAAAGACTTAGTGGCCAACTTGGAGAAGCTCCCACTAGCCAAAGGTAGAACAATTTAAACATCAAAAAATATAAATGCCATGGATTGAAACATGCCAGATCTATATATTTTTTAAAATTCTGAATTCACAATGATACTAAAAATAAAAGATTCATTTGGTTACCTTTGGCAGATGCGAGGGAAGCAACTCATTATTCTGAAAATCGATTTAGAAAAGGGAGGGTGGGGGAAGAATTAAGAATTTATCCTACCTTTCCTGTATGAACTTCTCTATCTGAGTACCAAATAGGTAAGGGAATTTTTTTCTTTATGGGACTATTCTAATTAATACTCCTTTTACAAGGAGTGCCAATTTGAATACCACCATTGTACAACTCTAATGATATAATGGATCTAGGCCAAGACCATCAATAGCTGCTGGAAATCCTTCAGTGAAAAGCTGATTAGCTACTTCATAATGGATGGAGGGAAAGGTTGGCAGTGTGCTGGAGCTGGCTTGACAGGCTCACAAAAGCCGATTGTTAAGTTTTCAGGAATTTTGCAGGCCAGTTGATATGCTGGTAGCTTCAAATCAGCTATTTTATACTATGGAAATTGGTATAAATCAGGGAAACACGACAAACCAGGGTTTGCCTCTTCAAACATGTCCCAAGCTGGTCGTTAGATATTTACCACCACATCACCGGATGAAGTTAACACCTGAATACACTGATCAATCCTAACATTACTAAACGAGGGACAACCAGATATCACAGACTTCTGATAAAAGCATAAAACAAGGGCGCCTGGGTGGCTCAGTGGGTTAAGCCTCTGCCTTCAGCTCAGGTCATGATCTCAGGGTCCTGGGATCGAGTCCCGCATCGGGCTCTCTGCTCTGCGGAGAGCCTGCTTCCCCCTCTCTCTCTGCCTGCCTCTCTGCCTACTTGTGATTTCTTTCTCTGTGTGTCAAATAAATAAATAAAATCTAAAAAAAAAATAATAATAAAAAGCATAAAACAACCAATCAAGTATTCCTGCCAAAAAAAGACTCGAACCTGATCAAACCTCTAATCTAACAGCCACTTATAGAAACTAGAGGGGTGGATGAACATGCTGAATGATACATGAATGTAAACAACGTAAATCAAGAATATCGAAAACTCTACAGGACAAAAGATCCAGTTTCCAAAATTTTCCAAAAAATAAATTACAAGGAAAAAAAAGGGGGGAGAAGAGAGTGGGACTCTTGTCTGAATTCTGATTTGAACCAGCCACAGGCTTGTTTTATATATATATATGACTAACTGGGAAAACTAAACACTAGATAGCTTGAAATTAAGGAATTACTATTAATTTTTCAAGTGTGATGGTATTATGGTTACATTTAAAAAATCATTTTTTTTTAGGGATACATACTGTCATATTACAGATGGAATGACATCAAGATTGGTCAGGAGTTGGTAACTGTTTAAGTCAGCTAAGGGATACATGGGAATTCATGATAGTATTATCTCTTGCATATATTTTTAAGTTTTCTGATCGTAAAAAAGTTTTAAAATAGCAAAAAGAATTTGCACATGTGTTTACCAAACTTTTTTGCTCGAAATGTTATTTTAAGTTATACGTTCTTATTTTAAAGCAGAGTTTGTCTTTAATTTTGAGATAGACTTCTGGAGTCTGCTCTTTCATTTGGCAAAGTAGGCACAATAAAGTTCTGGTTCTCAAACTTTAGTGTACATCGGAAACACCTGGGTGGACTGTTGAAACAGATGGTGGGTCCCATCTGCAGAGTTTCTGATTCAGAAGTTTGGTATGGGACATGAGAATTTACATTTTTAACAAGTTCCCAGGTGACGCTGATGTTACTAGTTCAGGAACCATGCTGAAAATTGATCAAAGGGTCTAGTTGCTACTAGGCTGCTCAGACCTATAGACAGTCAGTAAAAATAGTGAGTGGGTAAAATGTTAAGATAATAAATTGATGTTGTCTCTCATAGATTTTTCTCAGACTTATCTATAGTATACTGTATTTGAAAGAGTAGAACTTGGGGTACCTGGGTGGCTCATTTGGTTAAGTGTCTGCCTTTGGCTTGGGTCATGATCCCAGGGTCCTGGGATTGAGTCCCACATTGGGCTCCCTGTTCAGTGGGGAGTCTGCTTCTCCCTCTCCCCCTGCCCCTTTTATGCTCACTCACTCACTGTCTCTCAAATAAATAAATAATCTTTAAAAATATAAATAAAAGAACAGAACTTTCCCATTGACAAATGAGGGGACCAAGTTCACTATTTAATATTCAGTAGACAAATCCTTTAAAGTTATATAAAAGAAAACAGGGGTGCCTGGGTGGCTCAGTGGGTTGGGCCTCTGCCTTCAGCTCGGGTCATAATCTCAGGGTCCTGGGATCGAGCCACACATCGGGCTCTCTGCTCAGCAGGGAGCTTGCTTCCCCCCTCCCCTCCCTCTGCCTGCCTCTCTGCCTACTTGTGATCTGTCAAATAAATAAATAAGTAAATAAATAAAATCTTAAAAAATTTTTCACCAAATTATACTCTTTAAATATGTAGAGTTTTTGTATGTAAATTATACCTCAATAATATAAGAAATGTTAAACATGGAAAAAGTATATGTAATTTCACATGTCTACTAAAAATTTAACGAAGCAACCAGAAATGTTTCAAGGAACATGAGCTACGGTTTTTTCCTCATAAAGTCATAGAAGCTGAGGTTTTTGAGGCAATCCAAAGATTTGGGAGGTCCCTATCCCTACTGTGAACACATCTCCTATGGTTGTGGCTCCTCATAACTGTAAATAAAGAAAGGGAATAATTCATTCTAGGTGTACTTGTACCTTCAGGTTTTCTTACAATAATCCACCTTCTAACAGAAAGAACATTAAGAGTTCATTCCCAATCATCCTTCCTTCCATATCCTCCCTGTGAGTTTCTGCCTCCTAAACAGAACACTTCAAGGATGCGTGGCATTGCAGAGTGCCTTTTCTTGCTTCTTCATCTATGAACTGGGGATAAAATTCCCTACCATAAAGGATTGTTATATGGATTAAGTAAGAAATTACAAGGGTTCAGCCTTTCCTTGGAAGGAGCTCAGTAAACAGCTCCTTCCTATTCAAAATCCTTCTCTGTGACACACACACACACATAAAAGATAATGAAAATAATTACATGTGTTTTCTGAAGGATTACTTAGTAATCTTCAAACTAAGACTTAATATTAGAAGATGAAATAGTTAAAAACTGTCATCAAATCATAAAGTTGTGGAAATTGACAGATTTTTTTTTCCCCAGAAACTAATTCCTGAGCACAGTCTATCTCCTAAAGAATTTCCTAATGTTGACGAAAGCGTTCTATTTTGGTAATGAATGACCACTTACTACCCTGGCAGGTGCTAGTGAATTAAATGCCCCAAGCTGAATTAGAATAGCAGGAAGACTGTTACTACATATGCTATCAGTGCATACTCCCAAAACAAACAAACAAAATCCTCTGGATGCCTTGAGAATTCCCTATCCTACAGCTTTCCAAAATAGTGACACAATTTTCCTATATTTTAAGATAGCAAGCAAAGACAAGGGTACATAAATACGTGTTTTCTGACTTATTCTATTATCTCTGGGTTTGTTGGGGAATTTGCTCCCGTTATTAAAAGACTCCAGGCAAAGTTGAAAGAAAATAAAAGAATGATTTCCTGGGGCCCAAAAAGAGGGGACTGTGCAAACTGAGAAGTCTAGTTTTTTGTCTAACAGAATTATTCCTCAGTGCTCATTTTCAGAAAATACTAAATCCAGTGTATTCAAGGTTTTTGTTAACATTTTACTTATTTATTTGAGAGAGAGAGAGCATGCCAGGGAAGGGGGCAAGGAGCAGAGAGAAAGGGAGAGAAATAAGCAGACTCCACCTGGAGCACAGAATCTGCTGCAGGGCCCAATCCCACAACCCCGAGATCATGACCAGAGCCAAAATCAACAGTTGAATGCTCAACGAACTGAGCCACCCAGGTGCCCCTCAAGTTTTTAATTAACTTAGTTTCATCTCTATCAATTGACTGAAAAAAAAAAAAATCACATCAGAGTTTAGTGTGGTTACAGCCAAATCATTTATATGGCAAGTTGAAAATTACTAACTTACCTGGACAATTACTTCTATGTTATGTGTCCTGTTACTGTAGTTTCGTGGGTTCCACTTCAGTATGAAAATAGGACCAGACAAATGAATAGCTTGCCCTAAATGGACTCCATCAATCTTAACTGTGACAGAAGTAATGGAGGTCAAGGAAAAGGCCAAGACTCTAAAACGAGAACATACATAATAAGCATGTGGTTTTAGATATTTTTACTGCTTTTAGAAAAGAGAATAACTATTATAATCTGAAAAAATATAAATGTAGGCAGAACCATCACACTGTATAATTGTTTATATGATCACTGTTCATGATCTGGTTTCTTTCTGAATGGTGGCTTTTGGAGTTGTATAATTTAGCAAACCTAACTTGGTGAGAAATTAGAAACTATTTTCGTACTTTTTAGAAAGGAAAATCAATTTTCTTTTGACAAATAAAGCTGCAGTAGATCCAAAGTTCTTTCTGATAAACTCCTCAAATCCTGGTTTTTTACATAGGAAAAGAATATTGGTTAGACATCTTACTTTGTTAATCTCATGTTAATCCTACCATCTACTCATTTGGTTCCCAACATATCTGTCCACAAGAAGCAAGAGCACAAACAGAATCAAGCTACCAGGCCCTTTCAGAGAATACAATGTCTGAATCAGATATCCAGTATCTATCAAAAACACCTGAGAGTCACTTCACTGCTAACGAAAAAAATAAGTCAAAACAGCTCGATACCATTTTTCCAGATTAATTAGTATATCTTTTTAAAAGTAGAGCATCCAAAAATGATAAGAGTGCCATAAAATTTGTACTCATTTGCCTGGTAATATAAATTAGTATCTGTTCTAAAAGGTAATTGGGTACCTTATGCACTGCTCGTGGTAATGTAAAATGGTACATTCACTATGGAAAACAGTATGGTGGTTCCTCAAAAAATTAAACATATAATTACTATGTGATCCAGCAATTCCGTTTCCAGACATATGCCCACAGCTACCGAAAGCAGGGATATGAACTGAGTATATTCCCGTTCACAGTAGCATTATTCACAATAGCCAAAAGGTGGAAGCAAAAGTATTGACAGATGAATAAACAAAATATTGTATATACACACAAAGGAATATTGGCCCGCCTTAAAAAAGCAAAGGAATTCTAACACACTCTACAACATGGAGGAACCTTGTGGATATTATTTTCAAGAAGCCAGCCAATTAGGGACGCCTGGGTGGCTCAGTCCATTGAGCCATTGCCTTCAGCTCAGGTCATGATCCCAGAGTCCTGGGATCAAATCCTGCATCGGGCTCCTTACTCAGTGGGGAGCCTGCTTCTCTCTCTGCCTCTGCCTGCCACTCTGCCTGCTTGTGCTCTCTCTTTCTCTAACTCTGACAAATAAATATATAAATAAAATCTTAAAAAAAAAAAAAAAGGCCAGCCAGTTAAAGGACAAATACTGTAGGATTCTCTTATATGATGTTCCTAGAATAGTGAAATTCATAGAGACCAGCAGAATGGGTGTTGCCACAGGCTGGGAAAAGGGGGAAATCGGGGAGTTATTGTTGGGTGGGTACAGAGTTTCAGTTTGGAAAGATGGAAGTGTTGATGATGGATGGTGGTGATGATTGCCTAACAGTATCAGTGTACTTTAATGCCACTGAACTGTACACCTAAACGCTGGTAAAATGACACATTTTATGTTCCATATATTTTACCACAATTTCTTAAAAGAATAATGATTTTAGTTTAAAAAAAAAGTAATTGGGCAATCTCTATCAAGAGTCATAAAAGAATTCATAATGTTTCACCAAGATTCCCACCTCTAGAACTTTATCTAAAGAAATTATTCAAATGGGAAAAGCATCTACATGCATCAGATGCTCATTCCCAAGATAGAAAATAAATGAAAAAGTTCACCAATAAGATAGGAAAATAGCTAGAAAAAATTGTAGAGCATTCTCTCTATTGAGAGAAAAAAAAGTAGGAATTGTTTACAGTCTGTGCCCTATCCTTACAACTATGAAAAAACATGCCTCAAAGAGAATGCCTGAGAAGGAAAAGTCAGAAATGTCATTAACAGCTCTCTCTGGGGCTAGGAGGATTACAGCAAGGCAAAACATGAAAATAAAATACACAAAAATGACAGTGGTAGGGCTATCGGTTTCTGGATTTTTTAAAAAAATTTCAACAGCTTAAAAAATTAGTTTTTAACTGAATGGGAATGAAGCAATAAGCATTTTATCTTTATATAATGTTCAGATTGTTGGGAAAATTAAAGTGGGGCTTCTCATTGCTTTCACATGAGATTATAATCACATTGACTTATTCTCCATTAATATCAAACTGAAAGTAAATTCCGAAAGAGTGCTACATACCTGATGTGTGTTGAATGAAGGAGTCTTTCTAGTGGTTCATGTCTAGCACAACTATATAAGAGTGACTTGGGATTAGTGATAAGAACCACAGGCCACTCGCCAAAGACCAAATCTGCAAAGCTAAAGAGGTCATGGTCAAAAGCAAAGATTCGGTACCTAGAGACCAGAAGACAATAAGGTAATTTAGTCACTGCGTATTATAAGAGGGTATGAAGGTAATACACAGAACAAATGTAAAAATGTAAAACTATAGTTTCTGAGATCATGAATTTATACAAAGTAGATAATATTGTTTCTGTCCTTCTTCCCTTGTCTTCTTCCCTATCGCTTTATAGTTCATGTTTGTCACAAATGGGATCTCATTGAAGACATAATTTAACTGTGCCCTAGGACAATGCCTGGTACATAGCATGCACCCTTTCAAACAATGTTTTCAAACAAATGCTTGATAAACTAATTCATTTGGTTTCTGTACCTTAAGACTGTTTTGAATCTAAGACATTCATCATAAGCCTGACATTCTTCATCTCATCAAAAATGTTAATATTAACATGAACACAATCAGAAATCTTTCATTCTTCTTTCAAACCTTTATTTCTATAATTTCAAAGAAATTAACAAAACTTATTTTGGTTTTCTAAATGCATGGTGAGAGGTACAGAGAGTCATTAAAGAATAACCAAAATTTTATATTTTCTACTTTTTAAACTGAAAAAAGAAATGATTTGACTATGGCAGAAACAATAGTGCTCACCAAATACTCCACGTGCTCCCCTGCATTGCCCAGTCTCCCTGGTATTAGGTTGGGACCATGTGACTATTTCTGGTCAATGGGCTGTGAACAGAAGTGACATGTATCACACTTCTGGTCCAAAGTACTTAAGAGTGGGTTTAAGTTCTCCATGCTCTCTCCCCTGCCCTGGAATTGAGGTGTTAAGATGGAGGAAGTCTGAACCCCTGAGTCACCCCACGGAAGAGAGATGCCCTGGCTCATACCAGATTTACATATATGAAAAAATAAACATCTGTTGTGTTATATGTATCCACAACAAAGCCTAGCCTAATATTACTAATATACTTTTAAAAGCTCTTCTATTATCCTAAAGCAACTTAAATGTTTAGAAGGGCAGGTAAAGGTTAGGTCCTTTCAGTAAAACCCCAGGGTTGGAACAACAGGAGAGCAGGTGGGAAGAGAAAGAGAGGAAATGGTTTCATGATATCACTTAACTTGTAACTATAGCATTTATAAGAAGTAAAGAAGCTGATCAAGGATTAGGAAGGCTATCTGGTAAAAGGCAATCCCAGCCCAGCCCACAACCTCACAGTCATGAATAGACAGGTCTTAGCGCAAAGTAATTACAGTTGCCAACTAATTACAGGCTTCAAGCATACCTTTAGACAGTTTCTAACAGAGCCAATTGAAATGATTAAGTAGCTTACAAGATGTAAAGCTATCTTTTAATTCATGGAAGTAGTTAAAAATAGACAGAAAACATATTTAGCTTGAAAAATATTTACTGAATAAAATCTTCAGAGAAGTGAGTGTGAATAAATTAAACAGTAACTGATAAAACAGTTCAACAATGAGATGATACTCTTCCATATTTAAGCTACTGTACTTAGTTATTCTCAAAATGTGTATTTAGTTCTTGTCTCCTTATATACTTAACTATACTGTATGCTTTTGATAAACAGGTTATGTTTTCTCACAGAAAGACTTTAATCTTAATAAAACCAACTATTATGTATTTGAAGAACTTAAAGCACTAACATTGTAATGACTACCAAGGTAGATAGAAAGTTCAGAAGGTGATACACTTACAATTCTAAAGTAAGTGTGGTCCATAGAGCACCTGGTGGGCTTTAAAAAAAAATGCAGTTTCTTGAGTCCTAAACCAGACCCATACAATCAAATTCTGTGGAGATAGGGCCTCCAAACTGTTATTTTTAATAACCTCTTTCACAATCCTTGTGCAGCCTAGAGTTTGATATCCATTTCCAAATGGATGCATCTTGAAAATCCAATGTAACACAGTGAGAGCAAATATAACTCTTGCAATGAGGTTTTTCACACCAACACACACAATATCTATATTACTTTAAAAACTTAGGGAAATCAAAAGTTCTTCCTTGACTGGGATCACCCATGATAGCAATAAGAAAACTATCATTTTAGCAAAACTTATATGTTTAAGTTTTATTTTGTGGGGTAGTTCCCTTACCTTCTGTTCTCTTTCCAGTCTCCCACCTCAAGTTCCAAAGTGCCCTGGAGGTGACGCGTGTGCAAAACAGGCATGAGTCCACCGAGAGTGTGCAGATGCCCACACAAATATGCTGTAGCTGAACTAATTAACGAAAAATGAACAGAATAAGTGAACAGGTAACTTGTTATGCCAAACTAATAAAAAGATCTCTTCAGGAGAGCAAGAGGAACATAAAAGAATTACAAGCAATTAATTTTTATTTTGGAAGCCTGCCTCACCTCATTATAGACCGAATTCCAGGTGATGGAGAAAGGATAGTGGATGTTGTATAGTGTCCAAACCAAATACTGTGGTTGCTCTGACTACTTTCTTTGGCCAGTAGGAGAAGTTCCTCCATCCGCTTCTGAAATAGGAGAAAAACAGAGGGATTTTTAATCAGGGCTCAGGCTGAAATCTACAGATTAAACATCTCCCTTGAAGTTTTATACTAATATTATGTCTAAGGCCTAAGCTTTACTAATTAATGGCCTGTATGGACCTGTATAAATTTCAAACTGTTTTCATATACGTTATAATTCATTTGGTCCTAAAAATAACTCTGTGCTAAGTAGGACAAGTATTAGCCGCATTTGATAGATGAGGAAACTGAGAAATAGAGAACAATCTTTAAATGGCATAAATTTCTTTCTTTCTTTTAATAGAAATTCTTTACAGAAATTTCTTTATAGAAAATAAGAAGAACCACTGATCTTTTCAGCCCTGTATGCTACATTGCAATTAATAAAGAGGAACTTGAAACTAAACTTCTAAAATAAGATGCACATATGCTGTACCTGAATGTTCACAACAGCTCAACTCAGAATAGCCAAAAACTAGAAACCATCAGTATATCCAAACAATGGAATGCTATGCAGTGATAAAAAGGAAAGAATTACTCAAACACACAGAAATATGGATGAATCGCAGAAACATTACACCGAGCAAAAGAAGCCAGACAGAAGAAGAGTATATACTATATGATTTCATTTACATAAAATTCTTTATATATCTATCTATCTATATATATCTTTATATATCTCTATAATCTATACTGACAGAAAACCCATCAATGGTTCTCTAGGATTGGGGTGAAGACTGACTACAAAAGAGAACTTTCTAGGATGACAGAAATGTTCTATCTTGATTGTGGTGACATGTATACCAGCATATATATTTTTTGTCAAAACTCTTCAAACACTTAAAATGAGTGCATTTTATTGTATGTAAATCATCCCTCATAAAGCTGATTTCAAAAATAACTTGTACAGGGGCACCTAAGTGGCTCAGTCGGTTAAGCCACTGCTCAGATCATGATCCCAGGGTCCTGGGCTCGAGTCCTGCATCCCTCGAGCAGGGAGCCTGCTCCTCCCTCTCCCTTTGCCCTGCACCCCTGCTTGCGCGTGCATAAGCACTCTTCCTTTCAATCTCTCTCTCAAATAAATAAAATCTTTAAAAAAAAACCTTGTACATGTATAAATATATATTAATTATCTATAAAGTGCTTATAGCAATGAATTCTTCGACCGTACCTTCAGGGTTTCTAATTTGACAAGTCTTGGGGAAAGTCTGAGAATCTGCATTTTATGAGTCCAACTGATTTTCATGCAGATGATCTTTGAATCGTGTATTAAAAAACACTGCTCTAAGGAGTAGGCTTTAAAATAATAAGTTAAAAAACTGTCTAAAGACAGTTGGGAGATAAGAAACAAAATATACCTTCATTAAATAAAATGTGTAGTATAACACAATGCATCTCACAATAGTCTATTCACTTGATTTCAAGGTCTTCTGAACCCTCGTATCACTTTGAATCTCTCTTGGCACTTAGCAAATTCTGCCCTTTATTATAGTTATTTCTGCACGAGTCTTAACGCCCCTCCACTACAGTAAATATTCTAAGAGGCAAGTGACTTGATCTTATCGCTCTTGTATGCTTATAGGCAGGCACATACGTCTTCCTATGGGCATGCGCTTATTAGTGAGCTGACATCTGTTGTACTACGAAATAATGGGAGGGTCTCAGATGTAACTTTCTAAACAGTTTAAATCCAGCAACAGTTTTCACCTCACTCGCTTTAACGGAAATTTATTTACTTCAGTGGTTGTCCTTTAGTTAAAATAAATAGAGTCCATTAGTTAGAAATGGCAACCGTGGGGATTTAGAAATATACCCCATAGTATAAAAGCTGTATGCCCTGCACCTTGCAAAGAGTATGCTGCACTTAGTACATATTTAATAAATGTTTACTGAATAAATATAAAATATGAGGTACTTCTTTATGAGATTTTGGGACTAGAACAGGGATAGCAATGATAGTGCTCAAGTAGCCAGTGATTTCTTCTAGCCATACTTGTTAACCACAGTAAAATTTTTCACAGGAATTTCTAGATAAGAACTGGTTTACCTAGATAACCTTAAGTGAGCCACATTTATCCAAGAAAAAATAAAACAGGTTAGCTACAAAGGGAAGGTAGATTTTTACTGTACCTCATCTAAAATTCCAAAGAAATTATAGGGTCTCTTAGGCCCTGGATTTGGGGTGGCATCCAAAGAGATGAAAGAATAGTTTCCAAAGGGAGTACTGTGGACATAATGGAAAGAGCCATCCTTACGTACAGCAGAATATTTCCTAAAAAATATAAGACAGGAAAGTTTTAGTGCAATCATAAAAAAACAGAATGAGTTGAAATTCCTCCCTGTATATCACACTATATTTTGCCTCCCTTTGATAATTTCCTAATCTGACAGAGAAATACATCAACTATTCAAAATAAGCTGATGAAAAGAAATTTTAAAGATTTTTTTTTCCCATTGTTTACAAAGATTTAGGCCAACTAATTCATAAGTAACCAAACACAAGGTCATCAAGCAAAGCAGAGAAGGAAATGGCTAGTTTAGGCAATCCACTGAACATTTAAAGAGAGATCAATCAGAATCCAGTGAAATGGTACTTATCCATCATTGAAAAATTTAGTGAGGACCTACTAAAGTACCTAGCAGAATTCTTGGAGTAATGGGATATAAAAGGTATTTACATCCTGAAACAGGATTACAGAGACTTAACTCACAATAAAGCCTTGCAAAGATGAAGTCATCAAGCCAGGAGAAAAATGTTAGCTAGGTCTGGGTCAGTAAATCTTCTTCAGTTCCTAAAAATACAGCTGTAACATACACGGGGTATACATTCAGTAATGAAAGTCCTCACTACCTAAGTATTAACAGTGTTCATGTGTCTGTAAGGTTGGAGAATGAAGAATAGGGGGAGAGGGTAGGTAACACAGTACACAGTGTAGGAATTCATTAGTATTTGTTGAATAAATGTGAAGGAAGGTGTATAGATTGGGGACATACCTATATTATTCAAATATCAAAACATTATAAGAAAATAGATAAGGCACATAGGGAAAAATACAAATAAACTCCTGAAACCTAATGTGCTATCGGGGAGCTATATTTGAGCCATGATAGCCATCTAAATCTATCATAAAATAAATAGATTATCACAGATAGTATAATTAAAAGTCAATTAGCTCTATTGCCTCCCTTCCTGGTATTTTTAAATTTTCTATTTTGGAAGGCATCTGGCTCAGTTAAGTGAGCAACTCTTGATTTCAGCTCAGATCATGATCTCAGGGTCATAGGATCCAGCCCGGCACTGGGCTTGGCACTCAGCATGGTGTCTGCTTATCCCTTTCCCTCTGCTCCTCCCCTGGTCACATGGGCTCATGCATGTGCACACTCTCCCTCTCTGAAATAAATAAATAAAATCTATTAAAAAAATAAAATTTTCAGGGCGCCTGGGGGACTCAGTTGGTTGAGCGTCTGCCTTTGTCTTGAGTCGTGATTCCAGGGTCCTGGGATCAAGCCCCACATCGGGTTCCCTGCTCAGCAGGGAGCCTGCTTCTCCCTCTCCCACTCCCCCTGCTTGTGTACCCTCTCTTGCTGTCTCTCTCTGTCAAATGAATAAATAAAATCTTTAAATAAAGTAAAATAAAATAAAATAAAATTTTCTATTTCAATTTTTTTTCTCAGTAAAATTTTTATTTATATTTTTCCTGCTTAATTTGTTTTCAGTTATTCTTTAGGATCTTATAATCTCACATATACTGTTTCCTTTCCTATATTTTTAACACATTAAAATCAACTATCAACCCAACTACTTGAAAATAGAGATTAAAATTATATGATAGCTATTAACATTGCTTGAATTATGGATTTTGATATTTTCTGGGAGGTTCTTAAGATCAAGATTTAGCTTTTAAGATTTTTTTGTTCACCCCAATTCAGTTTTCCTTTCCTTCTCCTACTGTCCTCTGTATTATTCCTTATGCTCACAAGTAAAACCATATGATAATTGACTTTTGAGAGACTGCGTTCTCTGAGAAACAAACTGAGGGTTTTGGAAGGAAGGGGGGTGGGAGGATGGGTGAGCCTGGTGATGTGGAGGGCACATATTGCATGGAGCATTGGGTGTGGCGCATAAACAATGAATCTTAGAACACCGAAGAAATTAAAAAAAAATTTTTTTTTTAAATCACAGTACCATGTTATGTAAATAAACAAATATGAGTGTTTGTTTTTAGGAGAAAAAAAGACTTTTTTCATTCAGTCACTCCTGGGTGACTCAGTCAGTTAAGAGTCTGCCTTCGGGTCAGGTCATGATCCCAGACTCCTGGGATTGAGTCCCACATCAGGCTCCTTGCTCAGCAGGGAGCCTGCTTCTGCCTCTGCCTGCTATTCTCCCTGCTTGTGCTCACTCTCTTGCTCTCCCTCTCTGACAAATAAATAAAATCCTTAAAAAAAACTTTTTTTTTTCCTTCAGGTTGATATATCTGTGATGTCCACATTTCAGGCTGTTAAAATGCTGCTTATTAAAAATTCAGATAGAGTTTAGGTGCTTAGAAACAAAAATATAAAGGTAAGAAACCTTCAAGTGACTAATAGCTTTACCCTCCAGATAACCAGTCAGACCCAAAGTCCTGTTAATTCTTCCTTGAAAATGTTGCCTAGTTCCATTCCACAGTCACCATGAAAGATACAAATAGATAATAGAAAATGAAAGATAGTTTGTTCCAGCTCTTTGAAAAATGCCAGTGGAATTTTGATCGGGATGGCATTGAAAGTATAGATTGCTCTAGGCAGTATAGACATTTTAACAATGTTTATTCTTCTGATCCATAAGCATGAAATACTCTTAAATCTTTTTGTGTCTCCTTCAATTTCTTTCATGAGTGTTCTGTAGTTCCTCAAGTATAGATCCTTTACCTCTTTGGTTAGGTTTATTCCCAGGTATCTTATGGTTCCTGGTGCTATAGTAAATGGAATTGATTCTCTAATTTCCCTTTCTATATTTTTTGTTAGTGTATAAGAAAGCAATTGATTTTGTATCCTGCCACATTACTGAATTGCTCTAGTAGTTTGGGGGTGGAGTCTTTTGGGTTTTCCATATAAAGTATCATGTCATCTGCGAAGAGAAAGAGTTTGACTTCTCCTTTGCCAATTTGAATACCTTTTATTTCTCTTTGTTGTCTGACTGCTGTTGCTAGGCCTTCTAGTACCATGCTGAACAACAGTGGCGAGAGTGGACATCCTTGTCATGTTCCTGATCTCAAAGGGAAGGCTGTCAGCTTTTTCCCATTGAGGATGATATTCACTGTGGGTTTTTTATAAATAGATTTTATGACAATCCTAAAATTTGTATGGAACCAGAAGAGACCCTGAATCGCTAAGGAAATGTTGAAAAAAGAAAAACAAAACTGGGGGCATCACATTGCCTGATTTCAAGCTTTACTATAAAGCTGTGATCACCAAGACAGCATGGTATTGGCACAAAAACAGACACATAGACCAGTGGAACAGAGTAGAGAGCCCAGATATGGACCCGCAACTCTATGGTCAAATAATCTTTGACAAAGCAGGAAAAAATATACAGTAGAAAAAAGACAGTCTCTTCAATAAATGGTGCTGGGAAAATTGGACAACTATGGATAGAAGAATGAAACTCGACCATTCTCTTACACCATACACAAAGATAAACTTGAAAGACCTCAACGTGAGGTAGGAATAAATGTGGAATAAATGTAGGAATATATGTGGATAAAAGACCTCAACGTGAGGTAGGAATCTATCAAAATCCTAGAGGAGAACATAGGCAGTAATCTCTTAGACATCAGCCACAGCAACTTCTTTCAAGACATGTCCCCAAAGGCAAAGGAAACAAAAGCGAAAATGAACTTTTGGGACTTCATCAAGATAAAAAGTTTCTGCACAGCAAAGGAAACAGTCAACAAAACAAAGAGGCAGCCCACAGAATGGGAGAAGATATTCGCAAATGACACTACAGACAAAGGGCCGATATCCAAAATCTATAAAGAACTCCTCAAACTCAACACACACGAAACAGATAATCACATCAAAAAATGGGCAGAAGACATGAACAGACAATTCTCCAAAGAAGACATACAAATGGCTAATAAACACATGAAAAAATGTTCATCATTAGCAATCAGGGAGATTCAAATCAAAACCACATTGAGATACCACCTTACACAAGTTAGAATGGCCAAAATCAACAAGACAGGAAACAACATGTGTTGGAGAGGATGTGGTGAAAGGGGAACCCTCTTACACTGTTGGTGGGAATGCAAGTCGGTGCAGCCACTTTGGAAAACAGTGTGGAGGTTCCTTAAGAAATTAAAAATAGACCCTGCAATTGCACTACTGGGTATTTGCCCCAAACATACAGATGTAGTGAAAAAAAGGGCCATCTGTACCCCAATGTTCATAACAGCAATGAACAGTTGTCAAACTGTGGAAAGAACCAAGATGCCCTTCAACAGACAAATGGATAAAGAAGATATGGTCTATATATACAATGGAGTATTATGCCTCCATCAGAAAGGATGAATACCCAACTTTTGTATCAACATGGACGGGATTGGAAGAGATTACGCCGAGTGAAATAAATCAAGCAGAGAGAGTGAATTATATGGTTTCACTTACTTGTGGAGCATAAGGAATAACACGGAGGACATTGGGAGATGGAGAGAAGTGAGTTAGGGAAAATCAGAGGGGAGATGAGCCATGAGAGACTGTGGACTCTGAGAAACAAACTGAGGGTTTGGAGTGGAAGGGGTTGGGGGGTTGGGTGAGCCTGGTGGTGGGTATTAAGGAGGGCACGTATTGCATGGAGTAGTGGGTGAGGTGCATAAACAATGAATTTTGGAACACTGAAAAGAAATTAAATTTATTTTAATTAAAAAAAAAAAGAAAATGAAAAATTTCCATCTCTGACCTTTTCCTTTCTCACATTGAAAAGGGACAACTTTGTCCTCCAAGTTATGGTGACTCTAATTATATGTTAACCAATGCTGTTTGACCTGCCACCCTCCAGCTGATGATACTGTCCCCATATCTATGGACTTCGTTAGATGGGGAATATCTCCTGTACATTTCAGAAATAGCCCTTCCATATCATGCCTGGACTATTACAGGACTCCTCTATTCTACAAAACTCCAATCTCCCTGTTTTTTGCTTATTATCCCTATCTTTTTTCTTTTTTGTTGTGTGATTGCCCTTTATAAAGTATTATTTCATTATATGACTTGTCTCCTTAGGAATCTATACTGGATTATGAGCCATTATCCAACACATCTAAATTTCTACACTTGTCACTTAAGACCTCTGCTAACTGGCCCTAAGCTACCTACCCAATGTCATACCAGGCCTCAAAATGATCCTTTATTCTGGTGATACCAGTTTCCTTACTGTTCCTAAAAGCTCATTCTAGCTTTTAAAACTCTGGGGTTTTGCCTAAAATATACCCCTCAAAATTTCTTACTTCTCCAAATGCAATCCTTCTCTTAAGGCTGGACACAATTTTTGCTTCTTTTATAAAGTGCTAACTTGCAACTTGTAGATATATAAGTTCTGGAGATCCAATGCACAGCATGATAATTATAATCAAAAGTACCATTTTATAAACTTCAAAGTCACCAAGAGACTAGATCTTAATTATTCCTACCACAAGAAAATTATAATTATGTGATGGTAATTGAGGTATTAGCTAACTCTATGGTGTCCTCATTTTGCAACATATAAATGCATCACGGGAACATGTTGTACATCTTAATCTTATACAATTTTATATGTCAATTATATCTCAATAATAAAATAAAGTCTCCTCTATGTCTAGCCCATACTAACTTCTGCCCTTTCCGATTTCTCATAGTGATTATCATGTGTACCAAATAATGAAGCATTTCATCAGTCATCCCTTCAAGTTCTTTTCTAATTGTTTCCCAAACAATTCTTATCTCCCTTAACTGGACTTCCTTGAGGGTAGAGACCATATTTTTAAATATTAGCTCTTGTATCTCTCACGCTATCCAGCTAATGATGGGCTCTCAACAAATTTTCACTACTTGAGTGATGGTCAATGTAGGACAAAGCTGTGGAATACCCCAGAACTGGAAGTGAAACTGCAACTAAAAGAACCCAAACACATTGTAACTAGAGAGTTGGTTTTCTAACTTAAAGAACCTTTCATATTCATAGCCTTTTTCACATTCATGGCATATAAAGAAAATTTTAGTATTTCTGTGACATACTGGGATAAATGGACAAAGCAACCAGGGTGACCAACTGAGCTCCTCTCCCACTCTAGAGGCTCAGAGAATCAGTTACTCAGTATTCCTAAAATCCATAGTACTCTGGTAACAAGTTCTAATCTAAGTGACTTCTGCTACAGCATGGTGACTACAGTCAAACACACTCTGTTGTATATGTGAAAGTTGCTGAAAGTAGTCACAAGAAAAAAAAAGTTTCTTAACTATGTATGGTGATGGATGTTAACTAAACTTATCATGGTTACCATTCCATAATACATACAACTATCAAATCATTGCATTGTATACCTAAAATGAATATAATGTTATATGTCAATTATATCCAAGTAAAAAACTTAAAATAAAAAAATGACTTCTGCTCTGCATCAATGGCAGGAAAAAAGTTTGTGTGAGATATTTAAAGTATCATTAGCCAATACAAATCATAAAGTATATGAGATAAAAGGAGTTAAAGGAAAGAAAAAGTCTTGGGAAAAAAGGAACTGAATATGTCACACACACAAAAATTCTAAGTTACTAGAGGTTCTTCTGCTAAAAAATGTTTTCACTCAGGGCATCTAGGTGGCTCAGTGGGTTAAGCCTCTGCCTTCAGCTCAGGTCATGATCTCGGGATCCTGAAATCGAGACCCGTATCGGGCTCTCTGCTCAGTGGGAAGCATGCTTCCCCCTCTCTCTCGTCCTGCCTCTCTGCCTACTTGTGATCTCTCTCTCTCTGTCAAATAAATAAAAAAAATCTTTAAAAACAAAAAATTTTTTCACTCATTCACTGACTTGACTGCACCCCTCTTGTACTACTTCATGGTCTGTGTTCTGTTCACTACAGTACCTGTAATAATTCTCGACACTGTCCAGACTTGGAATGTTGAATGCATCTAATTAAAAAGAAAAGAACAATGAATCACTAAATTCTACTCCTGAAACCAATATTATACTATATGCTAACTAAATGGAATTTAAATAAAAATTTGGGGGAAGAAAAGCACATGGAAAAAAAAAAAACATCATCTATATTAAAAAGGAAAATAGAAACATCTTAACAACTAAAGAAAAATGACAATACTTTCAATAACACTTTAAATGGCAGACTGCCAATAAATTAGCCTGATCATTTTTAAAACTTGGTAACAGAATTTTTTATCTGGAAACTTATATAAGGTACTAGTATACTAGAGAATAAGAAATATTTTCATATTATGTACTATTCAGAATACATCAATTTGCAGTTCTAAGACTGGACGGTGTTGCTTGCTGTTTTAATCATGACTGATACATGGATCCATGCTAAGTGTTTCTAAACAGCTGATCACTTTGATAACAGGACCTAAGGCCATCTCTTCTTAAATCCTAAAGATTCAATAAGAAAGGAATTATATAATGGTAAGAGGTAAGGTAAAGGATGTTATAGAACACTTACCTGGAAATATAATGATTTCACAGAGCTTGATTGTCTGGTTGCAATAACTAAAATTTCTTACCAGCTTGGAATTCTAAGAATCCACTACATTTCTAATAACTTCAGAGAATAAGCTGTTAAGTCCAATTTAGGCTAAAAGAGCTATTATTGTGTATGCAATTCTCTTACTATGTAAGAGAACAATACTGTTATAGTTAAATTTTAATAAAAACTAGTTCCTTCCTATCTTAACACAATACATAAACATAAACACATACAGTAAGCATTTGTCCTTATACAAATCAAATTAGATTATCATGAACTCCAAAGGATGAGCTCTGTTCACAACATCTAATCACAAGAGTCTGATATTTATTACTTGAAATAAATCAGTAACTTGGCTTGAAAAACTTTTTTATTATGTATAGGCTTGCTTTTCATTACTAAAGAATTTGACCTGTACCACTAATCAGGGTCAGGAAAAAAAAGGGAAATGTAAATTCAGATCTTCTTCAACTTACAATGGGGTTACATCCAGACAAATCCATTTTAAGTGGCAAATATTTAAGTAGAAAATGCATTTCATACAGTGAACCTACTGATCATCATAGCTTAGCCTCACCTACGTAAAAAATGCTCAGAATGGTTACATTAGTCTATAGTTGGGCAAAATCATCTAACACAAGGTCTGTTTTATAATAAAGTTTTGAATATCTCATGCTGAAGATCTGAGAGTGAAAAACAAAATGAAAGCACAGGCACAAAATGGTTATAAGGTTAATGGCTCTTTACGCTGGCGGTCATGTCCAGTATCACCAGAGTACCATACTGCATATCACTAGCCCAGGAAAAGATAAAAATTCAAAATTCAAAATACAGTTTCTATTGAATGTGTATCACCATCATACATTGTAAAGTTGAAAAACTGTAAGTCAAGGGGTGCGTGGGTGGCTCAGTCGGTTAGGCTTCTGTCTTTGGCTCAGGTCGTGATTCCGGAGTCCCAGGACTGAGCCTTGCATTGGGCTCCTTGCTCAGACAGGAGTCTGCTTCTCCCACTGCCACTTCCTCTGCTCATGCTCAGTCTCTCTCTCTCTCACTTGCTCTCCCTCTTGCTTGCTCGCTCTCTTGCTCTCAAATAAAATCTTAAAAAATATCGTAAGTCAAGCCATCATAAGCTGAACCATCGTAAGTTGGGGACCAGGCTTACAGGGTATACCAGAGAAAGCTATAAGCCAGATACCCCATCTTCAATTAATAATTCCTAGCTGCTTTGTAAGAACTATTTATAAAGAGAGCATTTTCTGATCAAACCAAAACTATGTATTTCACCAGACAGAATTATCTGTTTAAAATGATAGTTTTAAAAATATTTATAATTAGGCATACAGCAGCAATTAATAATCAAGTGAAGCAGATCAAGTACTTAACAACCAATAAGAAGGTCAACCTATATAAAAACAAACAAGCTTACTGTTAAGATATTTTGCTGAGATTTCCTTACTAACACTACAATAATAATGTAAAAAATGTGAAGGGATTATCTATCTATTTCTCTCCTCATACATAGAGATTTGTTTGTAAGTTTAATTTTTTTAAGTATACACAGTAAAATTCATTCACTATAATGTACAGTTCTTTCGGTTTTGACAAACGCACAGTCATGTACCCACCACAATGGAACAGTTCTATCATCCCCCATAATGCTCTCATGATGGCTCTTTGTAGTCAGCCTATCCACCCCTCCCCCAATCCTTGCAACCACAATCTGTTCTCCATTGTTCTGCCTTTTCTTGAATGTTACATAAATCATACAGTATATAAACTTATGGGTGGTGGCTTCTATTGGGCAAAATGTTTATCTATTGATTTATACATATGTATTTATGTATGTGGTGTGAATGTATATATGTATGGACTGATTGATTTTAGGTTCCACACCCAATGTAGGGCTTGAACTCATGACTCTAGATGAAGGGTTGCATGCTCTACCAACTGAGCCAGCCAGACACCCAAAATGGTTATACTTTTAAACACCCTCCCACATAGGTTTTGCTAGAGGCTTTTCTAGCAAAACCATCCCAACTTTCCCCTCAAAGGCTAGAAGTGACATCTGAAGTTTTAAAATCATATAATATAGTTGTATTTCATAGTTGTGGGCTTTGGTATAACTAAACCTTGTTACAAAGTTCCCATTTTATAATCTTATACTCCAAACTGGAGAATCTGGGCTCTTAAAGGGAAAAAAATCTAGTTTTAATTATATATGGGTATTGACTCTTACCATGATTTCCTTTAACATCAAGCCACTTGGTTCTTTCCATGACCCTTGTCTTCTTCAGAATACCCTGGTAAGTTTGCCATTCTACCTCATGCTGCCTGGATCCCAAGTGTTCCTTTGTTTTGGCATCAGTCAGGTCTCCTGTAGATTTACATAAGACTTGAATCACAATGCAAAATAAACCCAAGGGGGTTAAAAAATGTTCTCAAATGCACACCGAAGGAACAAAGATACTTAAAGTACTCAACATGTATAAGCATAACAACTTATAAGTCCATCTATGTCCAAAGCAAGCCACACAAAATAGGAATTTCTTATTTTGAAAGGACCTTATTTGCTTCTTATAGGTTAGCAAGTACCTATTTAACTTCCCGTGATATTAGAAATGGGTTCTGAAAAAAATTATCTTTAAAGAGAGCAGTACAAAATGCGTCATGAAACTCTGACAAAAATGAAAACTATAAGAAATTCCAACACTCTGGGCAGATGCCTGATATCTATGACAACCATATTTTCCACACCCAAAATCAGGATATGTAATCTGACCAAGTGTTATTCTACAGCAAGAAGTGATCTGGAGGTGTGGTTGGGCAATGAAATACCAAAATTTCTGGAAAACAAAACAGACAGTTGAAATGGAGGTTTTCCATAAAATGAGGACTGATAAGCCATCTATCAGCAGAGGTGTTTCAGTAAGGTGGGTAGGATATGAATCCCCCAATAGACAAGACAGATGCTCCTTTAGCTTTTTCTCCAACACATTTAGAGAGCAAATAGGAGTTGAAAGATTCTAGAGAACCCAAGTCAAAGAAGTACCAAAAGATGAAGAAAAGTGTCCTAAGTCACTTTAAGAATTGACTAATGCTGTTTAAAAAAAGGAAAATTAGTTTTTTTAAAAAAAGATAACTTTTGGGCATCTGGTTGGCTCAGTCAGTTAAGCCTCCCATTCTTGATTTCCGCTCAGGTCATGATCTCAGGGTCCTGAGATGGATCCCTGGTGAGCTCTGCCCTGGGCCTGGAGCCTGCTTGAGATTATCTCTCTCCCTCTGCCCCTCCTCCAACCTCAAAAGAAAGAGAGAGAGAGAGAAGGAAGGAGGGGAGAGAGAGAAGGAAGGGAGGAAACTTTTGATTTGTGGTTAAAGGGCTTTCCCTAATTCTCTCAATCCAGAACTATAACAACGAACGAATACAAATACAGCAGACGGTATACTAAGAAGAATCATGAGCCTTGCTTCTACTGCTTTGACAAAACCTTGCTATGTATGGCAAGTCATTGATTGGTCTTGGATCTTAATTATGCATAGGCAAAGGAAATTACAATGTCCCATCTCCCCTACAGGAGGACTCACCTGGGGCTGGGGCTATAGTGTTCCCAACATTCCCCAGGTGAAAAGCTGTAGCCCTGGCTAGCATTCTACCATCCGGACCATAGAACAACGCGACAGCACGGCAACCCTCCCTACCTGTTGCCAGGACGAGAGCTGGTTGAATGATGCCAATAGTTTCTGAACAGAACTTCTCTAAGTCTACAGCTCTGCCTGGATCACGAAACCTGCTCAGGTGAATGTCGGATATCTGCCGAAAGCAGGTATTAAACAGAGATATCTGAGTCAGGAAGAGGCAGCACGGACAGCAGGCGACCATGCAGCTCTCTCTAGGCGGAAGGAAATGGCAAGGATGTCCCGCAAGAACGAACCCCCCTCCAGGGAAGAACAGAGCCCCCAGCCGGGAGTTTGGGGCCGCGGAGGTAGCACCCTGGCGGAAAGTACCCGCGTCTCACCGCGTGGTGACGGCTCTCCACCCACCCCTGCCCTGCTCCCGCTGCGTCACCTGCAGACCCCAGAAGATGTTGCCGGCTCCGGGGCCCGGCGCGGGGTGCGGGCTCCTGGAGGCGCGGGGCTGGGGCAGCGGTGAGGGCTGACCTGCCAACCCATAGTGCTCCAAGAGGACGGCCGCCAGAGCGGCTACCGCCAGCCCCGCAACCACCCTGATGGCCAGCACTGCAGCCATTCCGCCCGCCCGGGCGCTGCCCTTGTCGTCCGGGGCTCAGCCGGTGCTGCACCCCCGGGAGCTGCTCTAGCTGCACTTCCGGACTCTATGGTCGCGGGGGCCTAAAGCGCAGCTCGGCCGCCGCCGCCGCCGCCGCCGCACCTGCACCTCGCCAGGCACCTGCTACCAGCCAGCCGCCCAAGTCTCTGGGCTGGGTTGGCAAACGGAATGCGGGTGAAGTAAAGGAAACCGAGACACCCAGCGCAAATCAAGGTTGCCGAGGAGTGGTGGGGAAAGAAACCTGGTCCGGGAGGCGGAGGCTAAAGTCCTGGCTCCGCCTTAGTCAATCATTCCTGACCCCGGTGGGTCAGTTTCCTTACTCATAAAACGGATCTAATGAAGCCTCGCGTGCGTACTTCACAGGCTTGTGAGAATCACAGTATGTATAAGGACGCCATTTAAATTACTGTACAGATGTGACAGCTGACTCTCTCTCAGCCCTTCTGATTATTAACAACGTGTTTCCATAGGTTTTCAATAGATGTAGTACGTATGTTTTGTAAAGGTATTTTTTTCTAAACCTGATTTCTTACGCACTTGGCTATGTAATATCCCGTTGCCATTTAACAAACTAAATACTCCCTATGGGCAGTCACAGGAGAAGAATTAAATTCGGGTCCTGCCCTTAATTTATCTCTAACCATTCTGTTATTGTTGAACTTTTGGATTACTTATGTTCAGAATGTTCTGAATAAACATTCTGAATAAACACGCTGTTTTGAAAGAAAAACATTTTTATACAAATAGCACCTTTTAAACACTTATTTGAGTTATTTTCTTGGGATATGTTGCCAATATTGAAGTTATGCCTATTTTAATTCATTAAATACTTTTTGTGTACCTTTGGAAAGCAAGACATTGATCTCAGCAGAAAATATAACGAAATCCAAGTAGCTAAAGAACCATGATTCATTCTTTAGAAGCTTAGGTAGGAAAATGAAATATACAAGTAAGTTTAATATAAGACCAATATGCCATTTGGCACAAGAGACAACAAGATATAAAAGGCCAGAAGAGGTTTAACCAGAACAGATCCCATCTATAGGATCAGGAAAAGTTTAAGGAGGTGTCATATAGAACATGGATAGTTATTTCTGAGTGGCAGAGATTGGGGATGGGCTGGGGAGAAGCACTTTCCACCAGGACCTAACGTGAATCAAAGCATTAAGATGAGAATGTAGGACCTGTTGAGGAAACAGTGAGTACTTTGGTTTGTATGGGCCTAGAGTATACTTAGAGGAATAGTAGTAATTGAACCAGACCTTTAGTTTGAGCCACATTTTGGAAGGCCTGTATAAATGTCAAGAGTGAAGACAGATCTGGCAACAGCACAGGGAACCAACTGGACAGAGGAGAGGTATAGCAGAGACTCTGTTTGGAAGAATATTGGAATAATCCAGTGCTATGGTCTGAATGTGTCCCCACAAAAGGTGTATGTTGAAATCCTAATACTCAATGTGATGGAATTTACAGATGGGCTCTTCACTTATGAACAGAATTAGTGCCCTTATAAAAGAGACCGTAGAGAGATCCCTCACCCCTTCCACCATGTGGGGACACAGTGAGAAATCAGCAATCTGCAACCTGTAAGAGGGCTTCAGCAGAATCCAACCATTCTAGCACCCTGATCTTAGAATTCCACCCTCCAGAACTATGGGAAATATACTGTTATTTACAACCTACCCAGTCTGCAATATTTTATCTTAGCAGCCCAAACAGACTGAGACTGCAGGCAGTGGGTAACTGCAAAGTCCTGAAGAAGAAAGATGGGAGAGCGTGACACTGAGATTACAAAGGAAAGATCAGATGTAAAACAATTGTGAAGACCAAAACTACAGAATTTGACAGCTGATTGGATATTTGAGGGAAGGAAAAAAAGATAGTTAAAAGCTAGTGCCAAAATTTGGAACCCAAGTGACAAAAAAATACTAGGGCTATGATATATGTGTGGAGAGCATTGTCCATATGAATAAAGTTTTTGGTTTTGTCTAATATTGCACTGGAAAAATATCTGTAGGGATATCTTTAAACCAAATTTGGAAGATATGTTTGAGATGATGATTTAAAACATAGGCAATATGGCATTTATGACAGGCATTTATTTGGAGAGGCCTTAGAACAACTTTTAAAATATGAGAATAATTTTCCAGAAATGGAAGACAATAAGAATCTGCATGATAGATGATAGGAATAGACATGCTATTAAGACATTTTGGACTGAGAAATAGTTGTTTGAAGTCACAATGGCCAGGAGTCTGGATTGCAGGCACTGAACTGTAACCAAGCTGCTTCACTCATGGTGTTCATAGCAAGTCGAAACAGGAATTGTTTAATGATGGTTAATGATTCTTTAGGGAATACAGCTAATACACCACAAATCACCATACAAGGTGATTCTCAGTTCCTAACAACCAAAGGAGAAAGGAGATTTCTTGTTATCTCATAAAGAGAGCAAGCAGCAATGCACCATCAAAGCAAAATATCCTAGAACTAAAGTCAAGGAAGAATGTATCACTTGGGCATTTCACAAACAATGGACATTGTCATCAACAGTCTTAAACTGAAAAATGTGACTCTCACAAACATGTAGAAATTATCTTCAGATTACTATTTCTTATACTAAGTTTGTTTAAAAATCCAATAATGCAGGGCGCATGGGTGGCTCAGTCAGTTAAGCATCCAACTCTTCATTTCGGCTCAGGTCATGATATTCGGATTGTGAGACTGAACCCCTCATCAGGCTCCAGACTCAGTGCAGAGTTTGCTTTAGATTTTCTCTCTACCTCCCCTTCTGTCCCTTCCCCATCTTGCATGGACTCTCTCTTTCTCTCTCTCAAATAAATAAACCTTTTTTAAAATTCCAAAAATACGGTATGTAATAATTGTTCTGTGATGTTATTTCTGTGTAGAGCTAAAGTAATGAGATCAAAGTAGTTTTTTGTGTATGTAAGGATTTTTAAATTTCAAAATTGTGATATATAAAATATACCATCTTACCCATCTTTAAGTATATAATTTAGTGCCATTAAGTACATTCACATTGTTGTGCAACCATCATCACCATCCATCTCCTGAACTAAACTAAAATACTGTACCCATTAAATACTGAAGCCTCATCCTCCCCTCCCCACTCCCTAATAAATGTTTTCACCTATGTTATAGCATGGGTCAGAATTTCCTTCTGTTTTAGGGCCAAATAATATTGGATCGTATAAATATACCACATTTTCTTTATTCATTCATCTGTGAAAGGACATGCAGATTATTTCCACTATTTGGCTCCTGTGGATGCTGTTACTATGAACATCAGTGGGTACCAGACAGTTTTTCAGCTTTTTGGGAACACTCCATTCACCCCTTAGGAAAACAAATTTGAGGAGAATTTCATCTAAGTAGTTCAGGCTCTGTATAAGGAACCTGAAACACGAGCAAAAGTAAGAAATCACAGATCAAGGAAATTCTCACACATGTCATAATATGATGAACCTTTAGAACATTATGCCAGTAAAATAAGCCGGTTGTAAAAGTACAAATACTGTATGATTCCACCTATATGAGGTACTGAGAGTATTCAAATTCACAGAGACAGAAAGTAGAATGGTGGCTGCCAAGGGCAATGAGAAGTTAAGGTTTAATAAATACAAATTTTCAGTGTCACAAAATGAGAAAGTTCTATAGCTGGATGGTGGTGATGGTTGCACAACAATGTGAATGCATTTAATGCCACTGTACAGCTGTGGTTGGGCTCCCTGCTCAGCCGGGAACCTGCTTCTCCTCCCTCTGCCCCTCCCCCAGCATGTGCTCTCTACTCTCTCTTTCTCTCTCAGATAAATAAAAAAAAAAATCTTTATATGTAAAATACTAAATTAAAAAATAAACGTGGGAAGTTTGATCTTAGGTTACTATTTTTTTAAGATTTTATTTATTTATTTGACAGAGATCACAAGTAGGCAGAGAGGCAGGCAGAGAGAGAGGGGGTAGCAGGCTCCCCGCCAAGCAGAGAGCCCGATGTGGGGCTTGATCCCAGGACCCCGAGATCATGACCTGAGCCGAAGGCAGAGGCTTAACCCACTGAGCGACCCAGGTGCCCCTTAGGTTACTATTTTTTTAAAAATTTTATTTATTTATTTGAGAAAGAGTGAGAGTGAGAAAGCAGAAGCAGGGGGAGCAGCAGGCAGAGGGAGAAGCAGTTCTCCACTGAGCAGGGAGCCTGACGGTGGGCTCAATCCCAAGACTCCAGGATCATGACCTGAGCTGAAGGCAGTGGCCCAACTGACTGAGCCACTCAGGCGCCCCATCTTAGGTTACTATGAAAATGATCACCATTTAGGGGCACCTACCTGGCTCAGTCAGTAGAGCATGAGACTCTTGATCTTGGGGTTGTAAGTTTGACCCCCTGTTGGGTGTAGAGACTATTTAGAATGTTTTTTAAAAACACGATTACCATTTATATGTCATTTTATGGTTGAGTAAAAGAAACATGGACCACACAGCCACTTTGGGATGGGGCAATCATGGCAAGTTTGGATGACATCAAATCTATTCTTTGCATGTGTTTAAATGTATATGATAGATGGGAAAACAGTCATAAGGTTGTCGGCTTTCACATTCCTGAGATACAAATGCTAATTTGCCATCCCTGCAATGAAGCATAAATCCAAAAGCTTTAAAAAAAAAAAAATGCAGAGAACTAATGCCCTCATCAAAAGTTAGAAAAAGCACCAAACTCAGAAATTAAAATTAAAAACTCCCAGAGAAATATATTGGTCACATTATTATTATTACTTAAGATTTCATTTTTTTAAGATTTATTTATTTGAGAGAGAGAGAGCACAAGTGGGGGAGGGGGCATGGGGAAGGGCAGAGGGTGAGAAAGAATTCTCAAGCAGACTTCCTACTGAGCAAGTCTCAATCTCAGGACCTGGAATCATGACCTGAGCCAGAATCAAGGGTTGGCTGTTTTAACTGATTGAGCCACCCATGACACACTTAAGATTTTATTTTTAAGTAATCTCTATACCCAACATGGGGACTTGAACC